GCATACTTCTTAATGGGGCTTAAGTTCAGCTGCTTTGCTTCTTTTTTTCTTTATGATGCAATAAATAATGAAGAAAACCAAAACAGGGTCATAGACCCAAATTACAAGTAATGTTACCTATTTCTGATTTTGTATACTACTAATCCAAACCACCACCATGCTGTCACATCATCTACATCTTTAAATCCTATGACTCTGGTATTTCTGAATAGTGTCAGTTTGACTGCTTGACATTGAGATGTTTTCATACATTGTGTTTTCATTCTCCTGTTGTTTTGTCCCAGTAGTTCCTTTTAAACTATCATTTTCTATCTGTCATTTTCGAACTATCATATTCTTTGTCTGGAAAAATAGAGGCCAATATGAATAAGATTTGCTTGTGATCCTTTTCTTTTCATGTTAAGCAAAACATAAAACTTAAAAAATCATTTTCATACAAGTAAGTGTATATATGCATTTTCCTGTCTTAGTTCTAGTATTTCATTGTTTCATAATCCCATAGCAACAAATTCAGAAGAAATATAAAAAGCCTTCAACGTTTTAGAGAGGAAAACATGCCAAATCTCTTTTGGTAGCTGGGAAGCATGTTCTAATGCTTCCCACCTTGCTCTTTATCTTAATTAGTTCCCAGGGGACTACAGGATATTTTATAGTCATCCCTCAATACAAAGCTTTCATAAACAAAGTGCAACTGTTACCCAAAGTCCATTCTGTACACAGACTTTTTGTTAAAAATTCCCAATCCAAGGATTCTTGGCTCTCGGCCCGGATGCAAATCGTCTTAGGTTCTTAGGCTTTTGGGTTCGTAAAGTTTGACAAGTATTGAGAAGACCAAATACTTACTCCAGGTACTGAAATTTTAAAATAGATTTGTGTTTATTTTAAAATTTTATTTTCCTGTTCTAAGTATCAGTTTAATTCATAAGTCACTTCTATGCTTTCTGTAATATTTTGAATAACTATCTTCTAAGACTCTAAGCAAGAGTTTTGCTCTTGTTTAACATTGTGTACATGGGTGCATACATAACACATTGCGTGCATCACTCTTGTCCTCACAAGACCTCCTGTTTCACTAGGTCAGCACATCCTGAATTTAGGTTCTTTTTACTAATGCTTACATGAATACATCCAAAAATCTAGTAGTAGTTCACTTGCCATTAAAAAAAACCTAAGCCTGTATTTTGAGGCTGTAGTTAGATTTTAAAAATTCTAAAAATTCTTAAGTGTCTAGAGTAGAGAAGCCTTTGATATTCAGGAGAATTTCTGCAAGGAGAGGTGAAATCTTTCCTTTTGCAACTAAGGATCTAATTGTTTTTTCTGTTCATCTTGCACTGCAACTGTTTTTTCATGGGAAAAGCAGCTTTCTTGATTTGGCATTTTGTATAGTATTTGAGATATTTTTAAATTCCTACTAGGCTCAGCAGGTATTTGCAAGCTGGCTGTGTCTAGTAAGAGCATAGAGTTGAAGTAGGTCCTGAAAACAACCCTAAATCCAGGGTTGATCGAAGTGTGCCTTGCTGTTGAAGATTCAGTCCTGCTTCTGGGAGGTTTTGTTGCCCTTTTTTTTTTTTTTTTTTTTTTTTTTTTTTTTAATGACATCACATGGGCACTTGTACCAGGTAAAAAAAGTAAGTGATGCTTGTTTAAAATAAATTGATCCATATTAAAATAAATAAAAATTTATGTCTGAGATTTACCTGGCTCACTGAAAACTTGAGCCAGAATAAACAAGGCAAGGAAAGCAGCTTTTGAAAATAAATGATGCGAGGCAGGGCTTCCTCCAAGGACAAAGTCATCACTGCTGCCAGCTTAAATTGTTTGGGAAAATATGGGTTATATAACATTGTTTTGTAAGAAACGGTGGGGGGGGGCTGGATTTTATTACATCACTAAAAACTATTTTTGATTGATTCATAAGGTTAAGGGCAATGCTGAGATTAAATGTTGTGATCAGTTTTGAGCTGTGAGGCACAAAATTTGTTATCAACTAGTGCATGTTTGAATGCAAGATAAAATACTTAAAGAAATCTGTCAATATACCCATACATTGCTTGGTCACATGTAAATTTGAAAGGAGGCGCAGGAACTTTTCTCATGTGTAACTGGGCGCAACAGCAGAGCACAGTACCTGCCCAAACTGCTGACCTCTTCCTCCACTGGAACTGGAAATGCTTAAGAAGTGCACATAGCCGTTTTAGGGTGACACTGCTTTGGCATTGCCCTGTGTTTTGTAGGATGACTTTCTTAACTTATGTACTTGAAATGCAGTGAGTGAATTCTCTTTTGAAGCCACTTATTTGGGCTTAAAATGTATAAAATTTCTCTTGTAGTTAGCCTCTGAATTGAATTAGTTTATTACATCAGTTTTTTTTTTAGTGTTTGCATTTTCTGTGAATTTGAATCCTGCTGCTTTGCAGATTTAGGTACATCATGTCAAACGGCATTGAACTGTTAATAGCTATTCCTTGACTGTGCTCCTTATTCTTTGTCTCATACTCCTTGCCAAAGGGAAGGAGGAGCTGGGAGATATCTTTAACTTCTAGTCTGAGTCCTGGTTGCATGTATTTAGTGTATGTTAGCAGATCACTTGAGCATGTTTTTGCAATTCTGCTGTTTGAGACCCTTGTTTCCTAGCGTTTCAGCTCTTCCTTGTGCAAGGAAGAACAGAAAAATATTGTTAGGCATCTAATGGACAAATTAGCAGACCACAGCAGAATCCAGAAGTGGAATAAAAATGCCACTATTCCAGGACTCCGTCCAAATGGACGGATTCCAACTTTAGCTCCTTCAGCAAAAGAAAACAAAGGAAAAAGGAAGCTTTTGGGATATCTACTCAGGATGCTGGTCCTTATTTGTGAGAGAGTCAGAATTCAAACCAAAAGGTGACTCGTCTCTCTAAAGAGCTTGTACTAAGTGTAATTAATTTTATCTAGGAATGGATGGCAAATGAGTGTAATGATTTGTTCCTGCACAGAATGCATCTTGGGCGTCACTCTCTATTTCTTAACCTTTTTCTTTTCTTAAATCAGTAGAGCTTTTTTGTATGGAGATGATCTTGTTATCCTAAAATAGCTTATTTCTGTACAAGAAATAACACAAGTAAATGTGTGTTAGACTGCATTGATCTAAGACTCTGTATTTGAGAAGTGGTGTCTGCTTTTTGTGTGCCCTGGTTCTTCTCCAGCTTAATACTGACCATGTTCCACTTTGTGCCAGGATAGAAAGGCATTTTATCTTTTCTGATGATTTAGCAAGCTGAACCTGCTTAGCAATGAGGCCAGGAAATGCACCAACCTGTGCAAGTGAGGAGACATTGCCACCTGGCTTGAGAGGGAGGGCTGAGATCTCCCCCTCCTTGCACCTGTAAGCTGTAGATTGCCTCAGGCTGTTCTATACAATTGATGTAAAGCTGCTGTAAAGCTGGTGCAGTTGTCTGCCGCATTGGGAGAACTCAGCCCATGCTCAGTGCTGCTCTCTGGTCCTTCAGAAGTGGACATTAAACCTCTGGAGGCCTGCATGTAATATCCAGCACCAGAAGGTCTGGTTCTTTTTTGGAAGTCTGATATATAACAGAAGTGCCAGGCTTGGGGATCATAGGAAATGTGGTTTAAGGTATCCATATGTCTGTGTTCTGCCACTTAATTTCGTACATCCACATCTCCAAGTTAGATTTTGAACCCTTATTTGCTGTCTTCGTCCACATGTAAGATGGTCCCTAATGCTTTAGCGCTTGTATTCCCCCCCCTGCCCCTTGTATGCTACATTAGTCTCTAGGTCAGGAGGGAGAAGGCCATCTCGTCTCTGTGCTCCCCAGCATCTGTTTAGCTTGCTGCGTTTGTGACCAAGAAGCCAGGCATGTGTCTCTGTTAGCTCTGTCTCGCCTCTCTGGTGTTGGGACACATACTGTTTCTGAACTTGGAAGTGAACGGAGTAGCGGAGGGAAGGCGGCTGGTATGGTGCTGCAGCTTTCTCAAAGCGCGCTCTCGTGCTGCTCGTAGCTGTCCGACCCAACGTGCTGGTGCTCTGTCAGGAAAGAGAGTAAGGTTGGGGGCTTATAGAAAGCGTAGTTTGGTTTCTACCATGTGTTGATACAAACTTGGTAGCAGTTTGGCTTTATGTTCACAGTGCTGAACAGAGGCTACAGAATTCTTAGTACAGACTTTACTGTTATGCCATACTTTCCAGTCTGACTTCTTGATTTCATGTTCTGGATGGGAACGAGTGTCAGTTTCAGACAGCAGTTTTTCATTGTGGCAACTCATTTTGCAGCAGTAATGTGTTAACCCAGCTCTTTATGTAAGAGCGAGTTAGAATGTCCTTGCATGTGTATGCAAAACATGAATCCTTGTTCAAAGGTCTTCAGTATTGACTTCCTAAAATGTTCTCAAATGCCTAATAAGACAATAGATTTGGGGGTTTGTTATGCGTTATCTAGGTGAGCATATAAATACCTGTTTTGCTGTTGTAAGCCTGCTGCTAGGCACTACGGCATACTTGGTGAGTAGGATTGAATGAGGAGCACGCAACTGGTACAAAACCGGGTGGAGCTGAAAGCAGTGATGATGGCATCCTCTCTCTAAGAGGATTGCCTTATTCTGCCTTCTCAGCGTAGTTGCATTTAGGATTTTTATAGCAGTGCGTAAATGCATAAGCACGTATGAAATGTGTCTTTTGGTACAGGTAAGAGTAGATCTCTTCTAATCTAGACCAACCTGTACTTGGAGACTTACTAGCTAAAAGTTTGAGATACATGGTAACCGTCTTGGTCTGTGTTCTAGTTTATCATGTTGAATTAGGGATGGTTAGGAACTCATTTCAGAAGAAAAAGTATTGATTTTTAACCCTGCAAATAAAAAGCTATTGTGGAAGTGTGAATTTTTTTCTTTAAATAAAAATATTTTGAGCTAGAGACTATGTATTTAATCTAAATTGCTTATTACCTATTGAAAACAACTATTAAAAAAAAAAACTACCTGCTACTTTTGTTTTTCAGAAATGGAGGAATGGAGTGCTGGATCTGGGATTGAAGATCTGTGCAGGATTATGGGATTATACCTTGAGCCAGCAGGCGGAATGCCTGAGTGACTGAAGAAAATGGGTGCTAATGCATCTAACTACCCTCATTCGTGTTCCCCAAGGGTAGGGGGGAATTCACAGGCACAACAGACATTCATAGGTAACTTTTTTCAATTATCTTGTCGTTTATATAAACAGCTTTTCAGATTGTATTTGCACTGCGTTTGAATTGTCTGCAGTGGTGTTCAACAGAGCTCTTGTTTTCTAGGTCAGCAGTTTGAATCCATTCAAGGTCAATAGTGCATGAAATTTGCTTCTCTCTGATATCTGTTTGGCCTGTGTATGAAACAAGCTGATATGCCAATTGCCAGTGAATGTGCCAGCCAATTAAAAAAGGGATGTGTTGATAGCAAGACAAAAGACATGCCACTTGTGCTGTTTTGAAGAGCAGTTGCTGTCATAATAATATCTTCCATTTTTCACTCTTGTTGGATCTTTTATGAAATGTATTTTAATGTTGTTAAAGCATGTAGCACTTTTGATCGTTAGTGTTCATGATAGTATTCGCACTATATCTGGTTGGAGAATAAATCCCTTATTTCTGGAAGGGAGATCTCTGGTAGCAAACCTGTTAGTGTCGTGCAGTCTTCAACACAACTTTTTTCTGCTGCTTTCCATGCTTTGCCTCTGTAATTGGAGGAGTGCTTGTTGCCATACGGTATTATTGACAAGCAAGCTGTTGCTTAGCTAGAAACATGGACTAATGTGCTGTTAACCAGTTAATTATAATTAACAATAATATAAATGCTTTATCAACATACTTTTTTTCTCCTTTATGCAACACTGAATAAGTAGTACTGATGTTCAGTTCTATTTCTTTTCTTAATCACCACTGGAAGTGTGGTAGAGATAAAAGATGACATTAAGCTTCTTGGCTTATATGGCCTTCCTAATGTTTTGGAGATCTGGGTAGAGGACAGTACACAAACTACCAGGTATGGAGATGTCTGCTCTGGTATTAATCTTGTGTATGCTCTTATAGCAGCATGTTAAAGAAAATTTATGTCCTGAATACCTTCCATAAGATGTGCATTTTCCATGTATCTTTAAGTAGTAAAATATATGTTCCAATTTATGTAGATCTTCCTAAACTAGCAGCCAAAACATTTTTGTTGTACCTTTAGATAAATATGCCAGCATGCTTATGCAATTGTTGAAACTTTTATTACCTAAAAAGCAAGTAAATTTGAATGCCAAAACACCTTTCACTTGAACAGAGTTTTGCAGAGGGGATGCTCCAAGGCCTCATTAAATTGCCTGGGAACTTTGTCCTTGGCATATGGAAGGTTTGATGCTGCTCAGAACTAAGCTTAGAACAGAAACTAAAATCAGTGTGTCACTGCAAACTTACTGGTCCCTCTTATCTAATGAAAAATGAAGTTGACACTTTTTTTCAGGGAAGTCTAAATAGTCTAATGTCAGATAAAGTAAAAGAGTGTTCTGCTGATTCTTGACTGAAACCTTTGAGCTGATGGTGGCGTTTGGGTGAGTGCTGGCAGAGTCACTGTGTTAATTACAACCCTGGTGTGCTTCTCTTCTTCCTGCTTCGTGTTGTTTGGCTTTTTTTCATCCTGACTCCTGTATTGTTTGTTTTTGTGGCAGCCTCAGCAGAAACTAGATGCATATTCAGAATTGATAGTTCCATGTTTCATCACTTCTCAGAATAATTATGTGGTAGTGTTATAAATCAACTTCTACAGATTTTTCTTTTCTTATAGAAGGCATTAGATCCATCCACTGTAAAAGTAGAAGTGGAAATATGAGGACTAGAGTTGGGATAATTGTGTGACATGCCAGTTGTTCTAGAATCAAGCTGGGGTCAGCCTGTGGGTTTGTTGTTTTAGGCACTGCTGCTTTACTGCTGACGTGCAGTGTTGTGCCACAGTATAAATGTGGAAATGGAAGGGGAATATTAAAAGCCGAAAACTGATCTGTTAGAAGTGCAACATTTTCATAGCCCATGGTCTTGTGGTAGTTTACTTGAAGGAAAGCTAAGTGTGCTTGCAGTCTATAAAAGAGTAGATCGGTAAAAGTAGTGAATGGCTTTTGCTGTTTTAAAGAACAGTTTGTTCCAGCTAAGGCTTAACTAGTCATCGTATGACTTATCTACAGCTTTCAGAAGGAGGATTTCCCACCGTTTTCTGAGTTGAGACATCTGTTCAAGATACTTATCTTTAAATACAGCTCTATAATTAGGTTTTAAAATGTGTAGGCATATAGAGGACTAGACAAATCCCATTATTCATTGTCAAGTGCCCAAGTAGCTTCTCTTGACAGTCATCTGTTTCTTATAAATGTTTGTCTTCAAAGATATGATATGATCTCAGGGCATGAAGCTGTTTTTGCTGTTTTTTAACAGTATTTAATAGATTGGTGCATTTTGGTGTGGAGGTGAGGAATACCTTTTTGCTTCTGCTGTCTTATCAAGAAATACAGAAGAAATACAAAGACCTCCTCGAATTGTCATTGAGGGCCACAAAACTGCTAGCTGCTGTGAGCTCGCCTGGGCTGTGCTGGTGCATCCTGGCTGCAGGGTTTTCTTTCCTTGTGCTTCTCTCTGGCAAAGGCAGTTGGGTGACAGCCCTGCTAATAGCACTGTTGGTAGTATGTCTGAAGGTAAACAGAGATTTGAATAATGTTTTGCTACCTTGGAGTAAGCAATACCTCATGGTATTCATTCAGGGAAGCAAGAAATTAAGACCAGTTCTGGTGTCCTACTTTTTTTTTTTAGCATAAGAGAATATTCCCCATCCTCCCGTTGGTCACTGGAATCCAAAATGCTTCAAATAATGATATGGCGTGTTTCCTCCCTGCAAAGTGCGTCTAGGATGTGCAGAGAGCAGTTCTGCTTTTATTCTAATATGCTGTCTAGGCGTGTTTTTTTTTTTTTTAATGGAGCAGAAAGTCTAGAATTGTCCCTATCAGTAGGAGGCTAGATATTACAATAGGAAAAATGGGGATTTGTTGCATTATATGGAAAGAATTTATATGGTGGATTCAGCAATGTGGTCTTTTTGAAGTTGTTTTGAGTTCCTGCCATCTTTTCATTTAAATTTAATTTTTGAGTGTCTTGAATTTTGAGTATGATTAATAACATATTGCTTGTTCTAGCAGAGTTCTAAATAACAAGGATAACACAATTAAAGAGATGTTTTCTGCATCCCAAAGCTTTCACTAATAAATGACTTGTAAAGCCCTTGCATTGCATGACGTGGGGGAGTTTTAATTGGCTTGGCATAAAAGCCATTTTATAAGGTTACTTAGCAATTATTGCTAGGGCTTAAATAATAAAACAACTTAGAGGATTTTAGATTGCTACCGTTTTTGTTCTCTAAAATTCAGATTGCTCCTTCTTTCACTCTTCTAGTGATATCTTTCTAGGTATCTTTCACTATTCTAGAAGTACCAGTGTGAAATACAGTAACTGCAAGCACTGGATTTTGACAGATTGAGCTGTAGCATCACTGTCAAAACAGCACAGCAAAATAGCATCACATCAAATCTACTTGAAACAAGTGGAACACTGAAAGAGAAATGATAAAGAATCTATAAAAGTCCACAGAACCTGTGTGGTGGTTCAGATGTCAACTTCAACTGTAAAAAGAGCAATAAGTTGTGAAATTATAGTAGTGTAACAGTGGAAAATTATGAACTATTTCTACTAAAAAGACTTTAGCAAATATTGTTTCAAATTAATTTCTTTTCTCCCTCCTTCCTTGCCTTTGTAATTACATATAGTTTACATGCTGATGTAAAAGGGACATTAAATTATTTAGATCAGCAAGTTTAGCATTACAGGAGTTGTACTTAGACACTTGCAAACTGTCTTCTTCCACCATGCTCTACAGAAGAAAGTTGTTTTCCTGTATATTTTCTGCATCAGACTTGAAGTGAAAAGTGTGTGTGTATATGTGTGTGTGTATATATATATATATATCCACATTGATTTCAACAGAAAAACCAGCTAGATTAAGTTAGAAAATAGTCCTTTAACACTGGAAACATACTGCTGCTAAACTAGTTTTTAACTATTCTTTCATTAAAATATTACTTCTATTTCTCATTACAGCTAGAAGCACAGCTCCTAATGCCACTTATTAACTTACAAGCTATTTTACTTGTGTATATGTAGCAAACATCAAATCATTTGACATTCAGAAAAGGTTCTTTTATTGAATGGATCAGGTCTGCAACATATGGTTGAAAGGAATCTAATCTTTTAATTTTCTGACACATTTGGTTCTCCATGTAAATGGTCTTTGAGGAAAAATAATTGATATATAGCGGTTATGAATGATATCAAAATAGTTGAATTCTTTAATTGTATACTGCTTCATTCAAAGGATATGTGATATTTTCTTGCTAAGATCTTGAATCTTGAAAAATGTTCTCAGTTTTCTTGACTGTCTTGAGTACTATGTTGTCCCTTCCCTCCTTTTTCTCTCCACTACTCCCCTATCAGTTTTTTTGTGACTCTGAGATATCAGTAAAATACCAAGTATGCTTTTCTTACTGAAATGACACAGTGCTGGAAATGACACATAGCTGAAAGATGAAGGGGGCTGCTATTTAAGGAAGTTTATGCAGTCCTTAAAGGTTTTTTTTTTCCTCTTATCTAGCAGGCTGGAATTTGCAACACTGACCAGTTTCTGTTTCTCACCTGCATAATGCAGTGCTTCATCAGCAGGTGGTACTGCTTGAGTCCTAGAACTATGGGTAAATTCTCCAAAAAAGAGTTGAATTTCTTTAGGCACAAAGGAAAAAAAAAAAAGATTTTTGCATTTGATAATTGACTGTAGACTTATCAAGATATTAACTTGATCTGAAGCGAAGGAAAAACTCCATCTTGTGGAGACATTAGTGGTCTTAACTGCTTTAGTGTTACAATCTTTCTTTATAAATTTAAAGAATAAATGCATTAAACTTTCCTTTTTATCTTCAGGGACATCATCCTACTCTCATCAAGGTTATGGCTGTGAATCAAAGCTGTATAGCCTTGACCATGGCCATGAGAAGCCTCAAGACAAGAAAAAGAAAACCTCTGGCCTTGCCACCCTCAAAAAGAAATTCATTAAGCGACGGAAATCTAGCCGATCTGCTGATCATGCCAAGCAGATGCGAGAACTTCTCTCAGGCTGGGATGTCAGAGATGTTAATGCATTGGTAGAAGAATATGAAGGGACGTCAGCCTTAAAGGAACTTTATCTACAAGCTAATTTGGCAAGACCAGAAGCCAGGACGCTACAAAAAGACATGGCTGATCTTTATCAGTACAAATATTGTACTGATGTAGACTTAATATTTCAAGAAACTTGTTTTCCTGTGCATCGTGCCATCTTGGCAGCAAGATGTCCCTTTTTTAAGACTTTGCTTTCTTCCTCACCGGAATATGGGGCAGAAATAATAATGGATATTAATACAGCTGGCATAGATATGCCTATGTTTTCTGCTTTGTTACACTACCTTTATACGGGAGAGTTTGGAATGGAGGATTCGAGGTTTCAAAATGTCGATATCCTTGTGCAGCTCAGTGAAGAATTTGGAACGCCAAATTCCTTAGATGTTGACATGCGTGCGCTGTTTGATTACATGTGCTACTATGATGTGGTTCTGAGCTTTTCATCCAACTCTGATTTGGTGGAGCCCTTTGGGGGAAGTCAGAACTGCCTGGATGAAGAGCTCAGAGCTCACAAAGCTGTTATCTCCTCACGATCGCCGTTTTTTCGTCACTTGCTGCAAAGGAGGATACGAACTGGTGAAGAAATCACGGACCGAACTCTGCGGACTCCAACTCGAATTATATTGGATGAGTCTATCATACCAAAAAAATATGCTAAAGTCATTTTAAACTGTATGTATACAGATGTGGTGGACCTCTCTGTTTTGCACTCCAGCCCTTCAGTGGGTAGTTTAAGTGAAGTTCAAGCTCTTGTAGCAGGAAAAATAAACATGACTAGGGCTGAAGAAGCTATGGAGCTTTATCACATAGCATTATTCCTGGAGTTTAACATGCTTGCACAAGGTAGGTAGTACTTTGCTTTCTATAGAAGAAATTACTCTGTTAGAAAAAATATTTTAGCTTGTAGTCAATTGCCATAGCTTTAATATTAAAACTTGCTGAAGGATTAATGTTAAAAGCCAATATTAAAATAAACTAGTACTTTTTGGCAACAATCCGAAAAATAATTTTAAAAAGAGAGGAAGAAAGTGATTGTTTCCCCAATTTTGAGTAGGTCAGCCTTCTCCATCAGTAAGCTATCTGCTGTCTGCCCCAGGACTTTTCTCCTCAGTATCTTTCAGTAGCGCTGTTTGGCCTCCTGGAGCAGGAGCAGAGTCTTGCTGTCACTGACTGGCAAGCTGCTTTAAGAAAAAGGAAGTTATTTTCCGTCTTTGAACTGGAGATAATGCACCTGTGTTATCTAGGGGTAGGGAAAAAATGCAGTATGAATTTAACCATATTGAGTGTCATTATTGAAGCATGCTGTTCATTTCTGATTGCTATGGCTGTGCTTAGTATCGCTGATGTTTATCTACTTTCATCCATCAGCCCCTTTTATGGCTGTAAATGACATGGGGGAACATGAGAGAGCCTTCATGAGAAAAGGAAATGTTTAGAGTTGCTATGAAGTATTTCCTGTTAGCAAAGCTGTAAACCTCAATGATTACTTCTTAGTTTCTCTCAAATGGAGTACATACACGGTAATATTGCTGATAATGAAAGATAAATTTGAAAAAGAGGCGGCTTAATCACACTGCTGTTGCAGGACATGAAAACATCTATTTCTTGTTGTGCAGAGCAGGAGGCAGTCAGTGTTTTCAGACCTGAAGTTTAGAAGACTTCACACCTGGCTGTTCTTGAAGCTCCGAAGGTGATGCAGCCTTTCTGCACTTGTAGACTGGCCAGGGTTATTGCAGCCCCCTGTGGGGTTTCTGAGCACTGAGCCAGGAACTAGTTCCCCTTCAGATGACAGGGGCTTTGCTCCCTGCTTCATCTGTTGGTGGGAGTGGAATTCACCCAGATACCAGCAATACAACTCTCTTAAGCTAATTTAACTTTATTATGAAAATAACTTTCTACAGGTCTGTACATCAGTAACTTCATAACCTTGTCAAATTTCTTTTTTATTAATGTTAAACCGTCTAACAGGATTCAGTAAAAACAGGAAGGGCCGGGTACTAAAGAGCAGATAAAATTATTGCAAAAGAGATCATGCTTACAGTGGGTTTTTCTGATGGTTATATTGAACTGCAGAAGATGGAGGAATGGGAAACGATCTGGTTTAACTACTGTATCTCTCCTAGAGGGTCATACTAGGAAGCTGCTCTTCGGACAGTGCTAAAAGTTGAAATAATTGTACTGAAATGCAACTTCCAGAAGAGACAGGAGATGTGTTTTTGGAGGTAGACTGCCCTAGGAGGAGAGGAAAGGAAAGGTTGTTCTTCTGATCTTTGCTATCGCCTTCCCCCACTTCCCTCTCATGCACCTGGAAACTTCATTAAAATTAAAATAAATGCAGAAGTGGCAACAGTTTAAATGTTATTAACTAAAATGTTGTTATTCACTTAATTTCTGTACCATATTGTGCCTATGAATGCTACTTAAGAACTAGACAGTGCAGCAGATCAGCTGAAAACAAGTAATAGCAAAAGCTGAACTGAAAATAACCATGTTCACTGCAAAACTGCAGGATACAGTTTCTCTGTGCTTTTCTTTCTGGGCATGCATGTTCTACAAGTGCCGAAAAGGATTGGGTGTGCTCAAGGATATTGATAAGAGGATTGGACTGTGACTAAAGCCCTCAGTAAGACACTGGGTGGGGTTTTTTGCCTCCTTTGGTTAAATGAGCAGGGTGTAAATATCTTCCCTTGTGCTGTTAGGCTGAGCAGGGACAGCTGAGGAGTGTGAAGGTGCTCTGCAGAAACACAGTGCAGCGTCTCTCACTACAGATGAGCAATGGCTGACAAGACAAGGGGACCCCAACAAGGAGTTTAAATAGAATTACAGACGGGAAAATAGCTTTTATGTTTTCAGTGATAGTAAATGCTGAATAAAAGCCTGATTTTTGATTTGATGCTGCTTTGGGTTTTCTGCTCATTTTAACTTGAATCGTAAACCAGCATCCTTTTCCATAGCAGACCCTAAAGCAGTATTGCTCTCAAGTATATAAGTTACATGTTATGGAGTCAGTAGTGGCAAGCCCCTGGCTTGTCTTTAAGGGCTTTCCCATGTCGGTGTCTTGGAGAGGCAGCAGGAGGGTACCAGAAGGGGCCCGGTTGGGTTCGCAGACCTCAGCAGCTCGGCCTGGTGCCAGGGGCTGGCACGGGCAGCCACCGGGTTCGAGCTGCCAGTGAGTTGCACTCAGTGGAGGGATACTCTGGCCCTCAATATTTTCCTCCTTTCTGTGATAAATCCATGTCTGACCTGTCCGAAGTAGTGATGGGCTGTGTGGTGGTGAGGTAAAGCAAGGAGGATAAGGAATTGTGCACTTACACATAGAAGAGAAATGTGGCAAAAGCAGAAAAGGATTGAAAGGTGCTATGAAACAGTACAGGCAAATATAAAATCGCAGATGTTTCTCCTGCCGTCTCTGGTACCATGTTAACTTGAACTAATAACAGGCTTTAAAAAATACCATTAGTTAGCTACAGGAGAGAGCAGTCAGCTGTTTGTAGCAAATCTATATATGCCGTAGAAGTTTGTTTTCAGTTTGTTGATACTGTGATACTTTCAGTTTGTTGATAAAACCGGGCATGAGGCGGATGGCCAGGATCTTTGTTGCAGCAGTGCCTGGGCTCCAGTTCCATGTCCAGGGCGCTTCTGTGCTTGAAGCACTTGCACAGCGGAGCTCGAGGTGTTATGCATATAGCTGCAGCACGAGGCGGTGCCGCGTGGTCAGTTTTCCTGAAGTTCTTCAGCCTGGTCCCCTTCTAACACTTCCCAGCCTGTCTCATGCTCGAGATGTCCCGTTTTGCCCCAGTTCTCTGACCCGATTCCATCAGTTGTTTCCTGCAGCATCTTAAACTTTCTGTAAAGTCTTAACTTTCTTCTTTAGTTTCTCTCTCTCTCTTTCTCTCTCCCACTCTTCCCTGCACAAGTCTTTGATTCAGTTCATTCATAGTACCCAATTCCAAACTTGCTGAAGCTGATCTCCCTGGTTTCCTGGAAAATATTTTGGGCTCATTATACGGAAGTCTGGCTAGTCTTTCCAACTCATTTTGCTCACTTATTACTCAGTTTTGGCTGCATATTTGTAGCTGAGTATCAAGAAAAGTTTTTATTTTATAGCTTCTGATCAACAGGCATTTTTATTTTCAATGGATATTTAGTCTGATCTGTCTTTAGAGTCCTTTCTAAAAAGTATCCAGATGCTGTCATTCTTTCCTTCAGTTTCAGCAGATTATTCGGTTCTGACACTTTCCATGGAAATATTCCTGCTCCTAATACAGTGATACTGCTTTTTCTGACTGTCCTATTTTAATAGATGGTTTCCCAGTGATGAAGTTAATGATGGTTTGTATGTGTGCTATGAATCTCTGCTGTCCAAGTAGGACTACTTTACTGGAAAAATTGCTGCGACTTCTATTTCATTTAGTCCGTTATCTGATCCTTATGTATTCCAAGATCACTAAATATTCCAAGAGAGGCTGATTTTTGGTCTTTAAATATGTATGAACTAATCGGCAAGCAAATCTAATCTCCCTGATCATACTAAAACCCATTACACCAGCCAGCACAGAGACTCGGGGGCTGAAGTGCCTGTGATCTGTCCAAGCGAAGCCCTGTGCCGCTCTCGCAGCATCTGGGAGGGCAGACGCTCTGCAGGAGGTTCAGGTACATCTCTCACGGAAGAGCTGAGCTTTCCTTCTCTATTTTCAGTTTTACAGCACGGCCATGGATGTGGTAGGGTAGTGAGTTAGGCTGGGTGTTGCGGATAAGCTTTGACTAAATTAAGTATCTTAATTCTGTTAGATGCCTAGATGAAATATGGTTCTCCTTTTGCATCTTGGCCTTGGTGCTGATTGCCATATATCATCCCAACGAGGTGGCAGAACAATGTGCTTTTCTGTTGCATGTTCTTGGATACTGGGACCAAATGCAGTAGTTTTGTCTGGAAGTCTTTTTTACCTGCTGATTCAAAAGGTTTCTGAAATCAAACGATAGAGGAAAAAAATAAGTTAATTTTAGCTTTACTGCTCTGTATGTCTTTCCTTTTATTTTTATGTGTTGACTTCGCTCTTGACAAGCATAAGAAGAAAGAAACTTTATTTTAAAGTCGTATTTAGTAGTGTGGCCTTTGATCTAAAGGCAGATATCATCCAACATCAAAAGTCCCCTTGATCTCAGCAGGAGTGAAGTGCTGAAGCACCAGGAAGCCCCCAATAGCAGAATTAAGAACACGCAAGTGTCTTGTGGGAAGATTAGAGCAAGTTTGCCAGCCATATAGCAATACAGTGCAAGTGCTCAAAGGAACTTGTCGGGCACTCATCTATATAGTAAATTGGTGTGGTTAAGTAAATATTAACATAAATCTGGTCTTCTGACCTGTTATCTCCTTACATTGACTCACTTGTGCTCAAGCCTGCAATTACTGCGTAGATTTTATGTTAAGAAAATGAAGAAGGGAGAAAGCAGGAAACGTAAAAAAAAAAAAAATCCTTAGAGTATTGTTACACTCCAGAGTTAAGTAGGAAGATGATAAGTTGGACCGAGTTCTGCAGTTGGGCATATAATTATGTTGTTGCAAAGAAAAGAAACTTTTGCAGAGAAACCATTTGGTCACTGCTTGGAGATTTTTATTTCTGCACCCTATGCTGAAGGAATTCTGTGGCTTTAAACAACAACCTAGCAACAGAGTTGGCAGCAGTAACACCTCTGAACATCAGCTCTTCTTCCCTCAGCCCGTCGTTGTTCCCATGCTAAGGTCTGCCCTTGGGGTCAGGATGGTTGAGTTGGCCACTCCTGACATCTCTGCTCCGCAGTTGTCTCCTGTTTGAGCGGGATCAGCTATGTTGCTGAATGTGTTTCATAAGGAGCACTGGAGCCCAGGCAAGGACTGTTGCCCACTGGTGATCACAAGAAGTAGAATTTAAAATTAACCTTCTAAGATTTTAACAGGTAGATTTTTGCAATAGTAAAACAGCTTTATAGCTGTGCCATATTATCATAAAATATTTTTAAATTGTGCAAGTTTATGTGTTTATATCTGCTCCATGATTTATTTTTTCCAGATGGCTGGATAATATTCCATATTAGAGTGGATACAATTTACTGAGCTTTCATCCAGAGAACACAATTGCTGTGGTTGCTGCTTACACCACATACAAAGCTATAGTTTCCTGTCTGTGCTAAGTTACCTGGCTCATTCTTCCTGCTGTTGTAGTTAACGCTTCCCTGTTTCTGTGGAGAGCCTAAATTCATATTGCCTTGTCTCTGAAGTTGGTCACTTAAATCTGTCCCTGAAGAAGGTCTCTTGAATGTGATGCAGATGGTTTGGACAGCCACAAGTGGTGCCCCTGCCCTGCCTGCCACAATTGCCTACCTGCCTGTGCTGGCAGGCAGGTTTGTGCAGTTAGTGATCTGCTTTAGCTGGAAACACACTTGACAGAACTGAGCTGACCAGCTTATTGCACTTAAGTATGGCGGTGGCATGAGCAATGGGAGAGGATGTGAACTGTCAGAAGAGGATGTCTTGTTTGATAGCCCTCTACAAGTTGGGTAGCTCTTGTTATTGTTCAACCACGGCCTATGAGCCTCTCCTAATGAGTTACTGATGAGTTCAGGACATACTTGGGCGTTTGGCTCTCCCAAGACATGGGAAGAAAGCTGCTCAGCTGTCTCCCGTGACCCCTCACTGCCCTGGAAGCTTGGTTGGAGCAGCAAGGGTGCTCTTTGAGAAGTCTCCTGTTTCCCGGTACATTGCAGTCCAGCTCCAAGTCATACTGCTGAACTGTTCCTTCAGTGCCACCAAGTTTAAATGGGTGGGTCATGGCTACCAACATGGTCTGTTCTAGTGTGACAAACATCAGTAGCAAACGAAATATCCAGTAGCTTCTGGATACCAGTTCATCGTCTTACCGAATTCTGAATTCTTACTACTTTTTTTTTTTCCCCTCTCCAGGAGCTTACATGAGTTTAGGGGAAACCCTCCACAAAGTGAGTTAGATCCAGCTAACAATATCATGGCAAGAACTTTACTTAATGCCGTTTTTGCTAATTGTTGAAGATACTTACGTTGTTTTCATAGATCTGTCAGCTGCTTTGATAAAACTCTAATCAGCTAGTTAGTGTTTTAACTATGGGCTCAGACTATTTCTTTGAAAGGCTGTGGAATCACAACGAAGAGAGAACAGAGGAATAACAGACTTGTTTGTAGGCTGGATTTAAGAATATTAGCATCCAGAAGGAGGAGTGCTTCATTTGTCCCAGCCGGTAGAGAATGTCATCTTCCATTTCTTTAAGATGAATCTCTGAGAGATGCTGATGCTCACAGAAGCTTGCGTTTTGGGATATTGCAAACAGATCTTGGAAAGGCTGCCCCTGCCTGAGTATTATCAAACAATACTCATAGGAGAAGAATGTTCTTTTCAACTGTGAGGAACAATATTGCGGCTGCTAGATGACTGCCTTTCTGCCAAATGGCTGAGTGTTAAAGCAAGGAAAAATTCTATCAAAAAAAAAAAAGGAAACTGGATTCCTTCTCTAACTGGACTTGGGTTGCCTCGGTTTTTGATGTTCAAAAACACCCTCATTACAACCTAATGTGAAGAAATGCTTTTAGTAATATGCATTCTGTTCTGATACACTGATTAAAATTATTTAGGGAAACAAGTCTCATTTGCTAGGCACACATTTGTGTTGATGGTGACTCTGGGATAGTGAGCCTTGATAGAAGAATCAGGGTTGAACTGATACTCTCCGTTTTTTATACATCAGTAATTCTCAGCTCTTCAGAACTGCATTTCTCATGGCAATAGTTTGCTCTCTTTGCAGGGAGCAGCTATCCTTATTGTTTCAAAAATAAACATCAGATGTAGAAATGCTATGGATGGCATTTGCTTTGAGACAAGTCTCTCTGCTCTCTGAGTGAAAACACTCTTTTTGAGTGTTTTCAGTGGATATTTGGGTCTACGTGCTGCCTTTGAAATATGACTCTATAGGTGTAATTGGTAGACTTTAGGGGAGTGTAATCATCTGCTGGAATTGGCTTGCATGCAAATAGCATAATTACAATACACAAAAGCTTGTATTAGAATTTAGCAGTGAGTCTTAGTGCAACAGTCAACCTTGCAAAATTTTTTAAAAAGCTTTTGTTTTTTATTTAGGGAATCTAACTCTGCTTAAGTGCACTGTAACTAGGCATTTGAGAGTGTCTGCTTAGTTTTCGCTGACCTTGCCAGGTTTGCTACCAGCTTAACACTTTATTTTTCTTGAGCCCCAAAAGTCAAGAAAATCAGAGGGAGAGGGGACAACATTTTTGAAGATGCCACACTGAGGCTTTTTCCCCAGACTTCTTGGAAATTCCCATACCTAGAGAGGGCAGATCCTCTAGCTTGTTCCAAAAAACAAGTAGTGTGTTTCAGAGAGCAGTTGTTGCCCTCTCTGAACTGGGACTGAGGCTCACGGGCCGAGTTCCTCTCACCAGCCTTTGCTGCGTGTTCACTGCTCACTTCAGTTTGGTCTTTGCCATCCAGCCTGCATGTTAATATCTAGTCAGCCGTTGTCCTTCTTTGTACTGTTGCTCAGCTATTTTGAATGGACTTTTCTCAGAAACAGTAAACTTTAGCATTCTTTGCTAAATGAAAATAGGAAGTGCTGAGAATTACCATGACAGTAATGGTAAAGGACAAAGCAGGTGAGCTCAGGCATCACTCGGAGTTCATCCCTTTGACAGAAATGAATGGAAAATCGAACAAGGGATGAAGAACATATTGTTACTGTTAACACATCTTTCAGAAGTGCAGTAGCTTTTGTTAACTGTTATGTTAGTGACTACACTGATAGAAGACCTTTCTTCTCTGAGGTTTATCAGAGGTATGAAAACTATATACTCAAAGTGCACACGGACAAAATAATCTGTTGTGATTATCAGCTCCATAAAATGCTGCTGGGATGCAGGCATCGGTTCTCAAATTCCCTTTGAAAAATTAATAGAAGTTACGTTCCCAAAACTAAATCTACGTTCAGACATGTTCCTGGAATGTGCTGCATGGATTCTCTCTGAACTTTGGCTCCATATATGATTTATCATTTCTTATTAAAGAAAAAATTAAAAGGTAGAATACTGCTCTGGTAATCAACATCCGGACTTTGTTTTCATAGTATAAAGGCAAATGTGTATATGTAAATATGAAAGGCTATAAATTTACCTGTCACATTCAATTCTTGCTTCCTGATGCCTTCTTCCTCCTACTGCTCAAACATTCGCTTTTCAAAGTCATGAACTTTGACATAGTAGTTCCTTTGACAGACATGTTTCTGCCTGTCAGAAGATCGGTGTTTTCCTACTTCTTGCTCTGTAATGTCTTATTCTTCACGTTGTTAGTTGCAATAAAAATGGCGTGATGCTTCCATTTTGCATGTTAACTTATGTGGGAAATTAATTTTTTCTTTAATCCCATTCCTTGCTGTTGGTATTTTTGAGTATGTGCAGGTGACTTAAAAGATCAGGTGTAGTACTAAGAGAGCCCAATTGTTTTTTGTCTTGACAAACATTAAGATTACTATACTAAACAATCTAAGAACTCAGTAACGAGATACAGTTCTCTAAACAACTGTCAAAGCTTAGTTTTCTGTTTCAAGAATGTTTAAAAAGGATCAAGTCCTAAAAAATAAAACAACTGCAGCGCAAGCATCTTGCTGTCAACTGTTCAGGGCTTTCAGGGCCTGTGTCTTTATGCGAAACTGTGTCTCATTACCCTGCTCTTGGACTAAGTTGAGTTGCAATTTTGTGCTTGCAGCGGGTAGTGGATTTATATATGATTCTAAAACTGGAATTTTTCTTTAAACTGTCACTTTCATATTCCAAAACAGTATTCTATATGTGAACCAGATGTAAAATGAGCCGAGCAGAGTGCTAGCATAAAGCTGTTCACGCTGTGGTGTCCTGCCTTAGCACAGGAACCCCGGCTGCCCATCCGAGCATCTCGCTGCTCTACGATGAGCAAGTCCTAATGCTGCCACGGGGTCAGAAGAACCGTACCAGGCGTGGACCTGCCTCTCATACTCCACTTGTGGCTTTCATGCCCGCAGCTTTACCAGCTTTTTATCCTGGCATCCCTGCGTGCTGCATGGAGGCCAATACAATGGGCTGGAGCTGCTGTGGCTTCCCACTTTCTTTGCCAGCCAGAAGAATTAAGCTTTGCTGGCCTTATCCTGTGCTGAGTAGCTGAGAATCAGCAACACCTCATAACTTTTGGTCTTGTCTCAGTAAAGTCAGTTCATGAAGTAATATGGACAAAAAAGAGTTACATTCTGTAAACTGTTGTAGATATACATTTGTGGACTGTTGTAAATAGTGGTGACTCAGTCTGACCATGCAGCTTTAGAGCTAACCACTTGGATAATGTGTGTTAATCAAAGAGGTTGTAATATTACTCTGTTAAATAGACTAATTTTTCAGTCTTTCATCTAGATTTACCTGGAAAATGACATTTCATATGGCTTTAAAAGGTAAATTATTGTATAACCCAAATCCTAAAGCACAATTAAAAATGCATTAAACTTTTAGTGAGAGTTTGCAAATTCTATTTGCAAAGCTTGGTCTGTAGGTCATTTCTGGTTTCATGCTATTGCTATGATGGCAGTCATATATTCCTTTATATTATTTATTTAGACGTGTATTCCTTCAGGATCAAAGTGCCTCTGTAACAACATTGCTGATTCTTGCTTTTATTCCATAGGCTGTGAAGATATTATTGCTGAGAGCATCTCACTAGACACCTTAATTGCCATTCTCAAGTGGAGTTCTCAACCATATGGGTCCAAGTGGGTACATCGCCAGGCGTTACATTTCCTCTGTGAGGAGTTTACCCAGGTCATGACTTCAGAAGTCTTCTATGAACTAAGCAAGGACCACCTGCTTACAGCTATTCAGTCGGACTATTTACAGGTAGCGTCGCGGTTCTGAGTAGCGCTAGTCCTGCTCCAAGCAGCCTGTGTTATCCCGTGGCTGGAAGTGTTTGAGTAGATCATTTTAAATTGTAGTCAAGAGGGTGCATGTGCACTGAGTTTTCTATTGTATAGGTTAATTGTTACTTCATTGTTTTAAGAAGACCATTCTGTTTTTTGGCTTCTTGCCAGTAATAGTTCAGAAACAGCTGCAAGTTGTTTTAGATGAAGCATTTCTATTTTGGCACATTTTAAGTGTACTGGGTTTTATTTTCTTTTAATATAAAGAAGAGACAAGTATTGCAGTATTTCATATTTTTCATGACTTTTATCCAGTGATTGTGTGTGTGTGGGGGGGGTTGTTGTTGTTGTTCTTGTTTGTTTTTTGTTTTTTTTTTCCGGGAGGGAAACTATTCTGATTAATAGAAAACTTGTGGGTTTTTTCTGCCTCTTTTTAACCAGTCATATAGCTTATTCATAGTTTACCCTGTGCCTTCTTTTTTCTTTTTCTTTTTTTGTTTGAATTCATTTGTGATACTAAATCTAGGGAGTATAGCATATAATAGGACAAATCTGTAAATCGGTACTCAGGCGATACTACTATTAAGGGAGCCCCTTTTAAAACTCAAACTGGAGCACAAGCTACATGCATTATCTTGCTGTATGTTCTTCCCATTTTTGAGACTCACATTCTGCATGGATCTGCTGCCCACCACCCACTGAGCGTGGAATCAGTTAAGGCTTTGAGTGAAGAGCCTTCAGTTGTCACAACTGTGCCCTTGCTGGGTCTGTCTTCTGTTTCTCTTGTTTTCTTGATAGGGCAGCTCAGTTTAGAATTGGAGCTAAAATTTGGTCACTCTTTTATTTCCATGAAGATCTTTTGGAAATTAAAAGCCATGTTGAAATTTCTTTCCTTTTTTAAGTTTTCATCTTTAGGACCTTAATCTTTAAACTTTAAGAGGTCCTACTCATATGCAGATTGTTGTTGGAAATTTCAGGACATTCTGAAAACCCCGTTTTAAACTGCAACATGCAGGATTACAGAGAACAGCTAGGTGGTATATATAGCATGAACTTACCCCAGAGCTTGTCTTGCAAAATATGACTTTAGAAATTATAAACAGTTGAGCTGAAAAGTTTATATATTAGTAAATAATTTTTAATTAGTTTAGTTTTAATTAGTTTAATTAGTAAAATAAATAAAGCAAGCCTTGTAGCAGATTAGAAAGTACAAATATTTATTTTGTTCTTGGTACAGATGTATTTCTTTTCAACTGTGCAAGGTATGCAGCTTTTAAGTGTATCGTTAACCCTAAGCATATACAGGTTTCTGATTTTCTCTTTCTACCAGGCAAGTGAGCAAGATATTCTTAAATATCTTATTAAATGGGGAGAACACCAGCTGATGAAGAGAATAGCAGACAGAGGTAAGGATCTTTTTAAATGAACAAGCGGTAACAAACCAAAAATAAAAAGGTATGTCAGCCCTTTTTGTGGGTAATGTATAATTTAAGGAACCTTTAGCTTAATATACGCAAGATATGTGCAAAACTAAACAAAAGCACTAAAAGCTATTTAAAAATAGCTTTTTATCTAGAAAAATAAAGCTCTATGTATTGAGAGCTGGGATTGCTTAGCCACAAGAAGAAAAGTTTAGGATGGAAGGGAACCTTTATCTATAAGTATCTAGTGGGAGGGAGTAAAGTAAACAGACCTCAGTGGTTCCCAGTGACAGGATGAGGGTACTAACCAAAACAGAGGAGTTGATATTTAAACATAACAAACAACTTTTTACTGTAAAGATGTTCAAATACTGGAATGGGTTTCCCAAAGAAGTTGAAGTCTCCATCCTTGGAGATGCTCAAAACCTGCCCTACTGCTGTGTGATTGGGTTCAGGGGAATGGGGGAAGTGCTAAGGAGAGGCAAAAGTCCTCTATGATCCGTTGCCTTTAAGTACTCTGATTTCCTGTTGCCTCAGAGTGATTTTTCTTGAAACTTGTTCACTAAATAGGAAAACTGTAGTGTCCTCTAATTTGTGCTGATACAGGCTTTTCAGGCACATGTGTTTCATTTTTAGTTTACTATGTCAACTTTTGCTTCAGTTTCAGTACATTTCCCCACAGAAGCCTGTGGTAATGAAAAACAAGCCATTAAGTGGTATTAATGTTTTTTTTCTAAAGTAGAAGCAAGTTTACCTTTTGTTAGCTGAGATGCACATTATTGCTACAGTCATCATTTAAGTGGTGATCTTGCATATGTTGGATGTGGGAAGCTGATTAAATATTTATTTCCTAAAGTATAAATGCAAGGAGCTTGTAGTCCATGCACACCTACAAAGTGTCAGTCGTGTAATACAATGAGAGGAATAAAAAACGACAGAATCAGTCTGTGTAAGGAGGACTGCTTACCATATTATTAAAATGCGCTATTATTGCATGTGATACAGGCAACAGGTAGACTTTTTACTTTTTGTTCCTTCTTGCAGAGCCTAATTTACTGAGTGGTACCGCTCACAGTGTGAACAAAAGAGGGGTGAAGAGGCGAGATCTTGATATTGAGGAGCTCAGAGAGATCCTGTCTCCCCTCCTGCCTTTTGTCCGCATTGAGCACATCTTACCCATGAGCAGCGAAGTACTGAGCGATGCAGTAAGTCCGTCTTCTCATACAAATTCCTGGGAGAAGTGGTTCCTGGGCTGTCATCGCTTAGTTATACGTGCAACTCTTCTTAATTTCTTTCCCTCCTTCCCTGGTTAATTTTATTTTTGTACTGTGAATCTTTCAGAAGACTTCTAAAAATTGTGAAGAGATTTCCTATAAGAAAGATTTTTTTTTTTCCCCCATGTACAGTGTTTTGTTTCTTTAATGAGTCATTAAACTCTTTTTATTCTGATTCTTAAAGATGAAGAGAGGCCTGATTAGCACACCTCCTTCAGACATGCTGCCAACATCAGAAGGTGGGAAGTCAAATGCCTGGCTGCGGCAAAAAAATGCTGGAATATATGTGAGGCCAAGACTGTTCTCACCATATGTGGAGGAGGCCAAGGTAATGACCATTAATAACATTTGGCCGCTGCTAAACTAGAATCATCAGGGGGTTCTGTAAACAGGGATTTTTTTTTGGTGTGTTTTGTCTCTCTTTGCATGTACTGGCCTAAAATACTAACATTTTCAATTTAACAAGACTTACAAGATTGATCATCAGGCTCAAGTCTCTAGAACTGGTCAGAAAAAAATTTCAACAAAATTTTTTTTTGTCGAAATTGAAATGTTTGCGAGACAGATCTTGATGAAATTCCACCGGAAACAAAGCAGCGTTCTGAGGGAAACCTCCCTGGTTTCCAGCCAGTTTGCCGGCCCAGCTCCTCGGCAGCCCACCTGGCAGGCGGATGGCAAGGTGAGAGCCTGAGAGTCCCAGTTTCAGCTAGTCAGCAAGCTCGGTGCCAGGTCTTTCAGGCTCCCCAGCTCCTACCAGAGCTGGGTGGAGAGCTACCATTGCACTGGGCAGAGGACTTAGATTCAGACAGAAATGAGAAGTAGAAGAATATTGATTATATTCTGATGACCCTCTGCAAAATGGAATAATATCTTGTGTCCAATGTTAGAAAATTCCCTGTTGACCCACTCCAACAGTAGTTTTCTTACTTAAGGTTTTGCATGAGGGCAGTAAAACTGAAGATCTCAGAACCTCTGATGTTGATGATGAGAGGTAGGATCGAGATGGCTCCTGTGCAGGGTAGAAACGTGGTGTGCTCTAGTTGCCAGAGCGGCCCTCTCGTAGGCTCCTAGATCCTGTCACAACCCAGGGTCAAACTGCTTCGTCCCAGCAGCAGAGGGACTGCAGAGCAGGAGGGCTAAGTGAAGGTGTCTTCATCCATCTCACCTGCAAACTCTAAACACTGCTCTGCTCTGGTAAATACAGAGGTCTTGGCCCCTGCGCTGAAGAAAATGTTTTCCAAGTGTGCGTTGTCAGTGAACCTCTTTGAGGGGGCTGGGAAAACAAACTTGTTTGGATTTGAGGCACCAAGATTAGACAGCCTGTAAAGAAGCAAAGGAAGATGAGCTAGTTAGAATTTTATCTATGTATCTTGCATTGTTAAACTAACAAAAACGTGTTAAAGACTGTGTAATGAAAGCTTTGACTCTTTTGGTACTCACTGTGCAAAATGGAAGTGCTATAGGCAGTAATCTGAAGGCAAAAAGTACTAAAAATATTTTTCTATCAGGAATCCTAGTTGTCTTTTAGTTATATATTTTGCTGCTGTTATATTTAAAGGTATCATTAACTGTTCAAGCTTAGTAAATATGAGAATCATCACTCTTCTGTCTGATGAATAATACTGTTTAGTTTGATTGTGGAGTGCAGAATTTGCTTATGATTCCAGTTGTTACTCACTTGTTAGCCTCCCGGCTCTTGAAAGAGCTCAGCTCAGCATTAAATGAGACCTTTAGCCAAGGGTATGCAGAGCCTCTTCCTGTCAGTTGAGACATCCAAGGGAAGCACATGTCCCTTGCAAGCTAGTGAGTTCAGCTCAATTTGCCGGAGTTGGAAACAGAGGTGAGGGTCTGCCTTTGAGATGGTTGCTTCCCATCTAAAAGTGACAAAATAAATAAGCAGTGTTGCCCAGCCTTTTTCATTTGGCTGTTGTTTGCTCTGAAATCCAGCTTTGATAATGATTGGAAAATTGAATAAGAAAGGTTGTGGGAAAAAAATTCCTTTAGGGAGCCGGAGGCCCTAGGGTTTAGGTGCTGTTAGCCTTGCGGCCTTGGGCCTGCGTGTGCAGCAGCTTGCGGCCGTTGGGCCCGCGCAGCGCCCTCACGGCGGCTCCCACGGCTCTCGTTGCAGTCGGTCCTGGATGAGATGATGGTGGAACAAACCGACCTCGTGCGGCTGCGGATGGTCCGAATGTCCAACGTGCCGGACACCCTGTACATGGTGAACAACGCGGTGCCGCAGTGCTGCCACGTGATAACCCACCAGCAAGTCAGCACCATGCAGTCCAGCCCCCCGTCAGTTATAGCCAACGAAATCCCAGGTAAGGGCGCTAGAGCAGCGGCAACGCTCTGCGCTGTCCGGTGAGCGCCGGCGGGGCTTGGGCAGAGGAGGGGGCAGACTTAATCACTGAATGCTGATATCCTCAGGGAGGAGTGTTTCATGTTTCAGGCTTTTGCATTCACCTACTTTATCTTTTGGTTTGGTCTGCTTTGAGGAGATGGACTATGTTCAGATGGCATAGTAAGTAGCTGGAGAATAAGATGGAGTTTGTATCCCTCCTTCTCCTCTGTTTATCCCTCCTCTTCTCCTGTTTAGACGATCTTTGTTTATCCCTCCCTTCAGCTGATCATGTGTGAGTGAGCAGACAAACCGTTTTAGTTTGCTAGAGACAGGGCAAAACTCAATAGACTTAGATTGCAGTGAGAGAATTTTAGTAAAGGTGTAAAGATTTGAAACACTGTTTGGATAAATACTGAGTTAGGTTTTGTAGAAAGGTTTTGATCTCTTCGATCAGTGTTTATGGTTGAAGAGACAATGATACCTAAAGGAAGTTTCAGCAGACTTTTCTGTAGTTTGATAAGAGGTTAATTATTTGTTTAGAAATGTACAGCTTTAGTGTCAGTGGTGCTTTACACCATTCAGATATTTTCCCTTTTATAGAAAAACATAAATACACTTACCATTATTTCAATTTTAAATATTTTGTCAAAAGGTGCAACTCTGCATTTGATTTATAGTGCTTACTGGGCTCCAGTTTCCAAAGAATTTGGCAAAGGAAACAAGTTCCCAAAGGTCTCTGGTGTTTTGCGGAAGTTCTTGGGTTCTGTGAATCTGCCCTCTGGATACCTCTTGACCCAAATCAAGCACCACTGCAAATTGCTTCTGTTTAACACATAGGAATTATTGCTAGCCCTTTGATTTGAGCATGGGATGAGTTGTGAGCCCGCCAGTACCTGGAATATAGATATTTTGTGCTGGTTAGTTGCCTGCTTTGCTTATGAGACCAGAGACTTGCTTGTTTTGCCAGTTCCCTGAGCTAAGAACAGTAGGTGAGACCAGCCCAATTTGTGGGAATTCCAGCATGTAGCTGGCCCTCAGCTTGTGCAGGGATCCATCCAGGACTTGCTGCAGGGGAAGCTGCTCAACATCCCCTCAGTGCCCCTTGCGCTGGGCTCGCAGAGCACGAGGCCCTTTGCAGCCTCTCGTCTCTGTCCGTGCGGTGCTCTCCCGTGCCTGTTCTGCACAGACCGAGCTGAGTAGCAGAAGTGTTATTGGCCACGTGTCTTGGTGGTCGTTTTGCAATAGTATTCTGAAGTGAGTTGGACCTGTGCTGGAATTGTCTTCTGCTTTGATGTTAGATTCTGCAGGTAATTGCGTTTCCTGAAATATTTCCAAGTTTTGATTTCAACTGAGAAGATAACACTTTTGCATAGTGATTTGTTTCACCTGAATAATTCTAAAAGAAGGAGCTGAGAAGATAACACTTTTGCATAGTAAATTTCCTATGTTCCACAATAATTTGGAGAGCTGATTTGAATTTCTCTAAAATTCTCTTTTTTTTTCAGTGTTAGTAAAATGTTGTATGTATCTGAATATGACTGCTAAATCAGGACTTTTCAGAGTAATTGAAGTGCGTGGTGGGTAAATGTATTTCCAGGACTTGAGGATTGGATAATTCTTTATTTTTGTTGCTGAATGTGGGACTAATGCATTAGGAAAATAAAAAACAGTTTGCTCTACACATTTATTTCTCATGTACCAGTGTTAAGTTTGAGATTAGAAACAGTTGTTGTGTTTTCTCCTTCTCTGTAGTGCAAATGCACTTTCACACTGTTCTTGCTATCTGATCCATTAAATTTTTATGAGCCTTCATTATGGACATCTGGTTGTAGTCCTATACAACTCTTGTAAAGCTGCTAATAGATCAGATGCCAAGGTTTACATATTCAGAGATCTGCATTAGACTTCTCTCATGATATGCACATTTTCCTTAGGACAAAAAGACCACAATAAAACATAATTCCTCATCATGAAAACGTTGTGCAACAGGACAAATACCCCAAATTACATATGGTTAGAAAGTGGATTTTTTAAAATAATTTCAGTATGGCAGCATAAAACAACATAATTCAACAGGTTTATTTTGGCTTACAACTTGTGTAATTCTTGTTTTAATGCTCTTTTCGTATTTATATACTGCTATTATGGTCTTGTGATTATGGAATTTCACCAGAAGTATGAAGTATAGGCCAAAATAAAATAAATGTATTCTTGGCCAGCAGTATTCATGAGGGAACATTTGGTTGTTATTTAAGATATCCTGCCTCACATCCCACCTCAAATCATAAAATTCTTGCATCATAAGGGGTTTTCAAAGAAGGCTATATTTGTGGTTCGCTTTAGCACAATGTGGAAAAATGGTGTATGTCTTTACCATTTGTATGGGGGCGGGGAGCGGGATGATCCCATGTGCTTTATCCCATAATGGTGCTCCCAGGCATTAGGCATGTGTGTAATTCAAACTGTTCTTGGCAGAATGCTTCTGAAAAAAGACAAACCTTTTTAAAGCAGCCTGATGTTTCATTTTCCTTCAAAAATAGGGGTAATCATTCTGAAAGTCAGTGTCTAAGAGATCAAAAGTAATCTCTGCTCTTACTCCTTTCCCCTGCTCCAGTTCCTAATCTCCTTGTTGTGAAAGAGATGATCAGGCGGCTGCAGGAGCTGCGGCACACGGAGCAGGTGCAAAGGGCTTACGCCCTCAACTGCGGAGAAGGTGCCACGGTCAGCTACGAGATTCAGATTCGTGTGCTCCGAGAATTTGGACTGTCCGATGCTGCTGCTGAGCTTCTGCAGGTGTGGAAAATTAAGCCATACAAGGGTAGGGTTTTGGGAGCTAGTCTGCTTGAAGGTGATTTAACCAGGATCTTTCACTGTAATAAAACAAATACTTTGTGCACATGCATTTACAGAAGCACTGATGCTTTGAAAAACTTTTGTAACTTTAGGGGTGACTGTTACATCTGACTTACATGATTTAAAAAAAAAAAAAAAATCAGACCAGCTTTATCTACAACTAGTGTTTTATCCTTCTTAATAAATAAATAACAGCAACGACAAAAAATCCAGCCCCATGAAAACTCTTTAATCTCTATTTTAAATCTTGACCCCAATCTCATACTCAAAGCTAAATCTGAGACAGCAAGATACCTGACTTAAAAATGTGTAATTCCACAGTGTATATATATATATTTTTTTAAAAAAGCTGTTGCTATTCAAGGTAAGTCAGATCTAACAGTCACCCCTAAATTTTTAAAAATAATAAATAAATAAATAAAATTGTAACTGAAACTCTTCAAGTTAACTTTCTAGGAGTTAAGGAATGCTTAATTAGTTCATCCCCATGCAGGTTCTGGATGATGAAATGCTGCGAAACCAGTTTATATCTTAGTCTGTTGCAGCCAACTATTGGCTGTTTGGAGGTGTTTGGAGAGCAGTCCTTGTGCGTAACTACAACCGTACACACAGGGCCTTCACACGGGAAGGGCTGTTTCCTACTGTCCAAGGTTCTAAATTTGCTGTCTCAGTCTTTTTAAAAACTTAAGTCATTAAGACCTGAATGAATAACTATGTAGCCAGAATGGTTTGATTTTTAACCGACTGCTCCCATAAGTGGTAAGTAGAGCGAACAATTCAAACAACTTAGGGGCTGCACATTCCTTATCAAAGAGGCTATTTATTTGTACCAATCCAAGCATACCGAGAGTTCTCGCTTGTGATTCATTCTTGAATCAAAAGGAAGAGACCTGGCTGATACTGTAGGGACTGCGAAACCTTCAGTCTCAGTGCTTAGCAAAAACGCTTGGTGGTCATCTTGATCACATCGTGCATCTGCCCTTGTATTGTTTTCAGATTTCTTATTTCATGGCAGCCATAATCACCTGCAATTTTGGCCATGTTTTAGATGGTAGAGTTAGCCTGTAAGGATGGTGGCAGATTTCCCAATCGCCAAGTTTTGGTATGTGCCAGTATAGGAGACTTGACTGGACGATTTCTGACTTTGGTTACCTGTGTGTGTGTGTTTTGTGTTTGTTTTTGTTTTGTTTTGTTTTCTCCCACACCTGCAGAATCCTCACAAATTCTTTCCTGACGAGCGCTTTGGGGATGAAAGCCCCCTCCTGACCATGAGGCAGTCCGGACGATGCCGTGTGAACAGCACCCCCGCTGCAGAAACCATGTTTACAGAGCTGGACTCTTTTGTGGCCTTCCACCCGCCATTGCCCCCTCCTCCACCCCCTTACCACCCACCAGCAACTCCTATTCACAACCAGTTCAAAGTGGGCTGGAAACAGAGGGTGCCAAGCCAACATCCCTCCCGTTCCTTCTCTTACCCGTGTAACCATTCGCTGTTCCACTCGCGGCCGGCTCCCAAGGCTGCGCCCCCCGTCTACCTGCCCGCCGTGAAAGCAGCCCCTCCGGATTGCACCAACCCCGCCGCTCTGGGCAGGCAGACGGTGGCCGCCGCAGCCGCGGTCATGGCAGCAGAGAAGCAAGTGGTAAGTGCTGCGGTTTGTGCCCCACCACAGCTCCCCACAGCACCTTTTGGAGATGATCAGAAGTAGATTCTCACAATGAAGTAATTTGGCTTAGTAAGGGAGCTAAAATGGCGTCCTAGCTTTTCAGGAGATTTCTTTTCTATCAGAATTGATAGAAAGAGGGGAAGTGAAGACTGGTCATCCTTCTGAATGCCAAAGACATGGCCTGATTACTGGGAGACCGGCTGGTGCTGGAGCAGGAGCATTTTGGAGGTGGAACTAGGACTTGTTAGTCCTCTGAAATAGCATAGTTTCCTCTGCATTAAAGCAAAGCTTAAGTGCAGTAGTGAACTGCATGCTGTCATGCACATGTGAAAGTCATGGTTTTTTCACTCTTCAGAGTTCAGCACACCAGAAATAGATGGGTTTGTATAGAGAGAGCACCTGTGGAGACTGAAAGCCTGATGGCTCTGAAGAGGTTTTAAAAATGACTAGGTAAACAGGAATTCATAATTGTATAATGATGGAATGTTCATTAGGCACTGATATTTAAAGGTGATAATTATAGTTGCTGGATTGATGTAATGGAAGTGGTGAATTGTAGGAGAGGCTAAGCAAAACCTTGGCTTTGCAAAGTAAATGGCATGCTAAATAATGAATTTGAATATTCATTTCTGCAGTGAAACCACTGAGTGCAGTTTTGTCATACTGAGAGCTTCAGATGCTGGAGTTCTGAATGGAATGCAAACTATATCTGAATGGATATATTTTTCCTGTTTTCTATTATTCTTTTTCACCAACTGTCCTAAATACATTCCATTTCTTTCTATATTTTAAGTTAATAACTTATTTGAAGTTGAAATACTTTTTTTTTAAGGGTTTATTTTGTAGCACTGGAGCTAGTGCCCCCCAAGCCCTTAGACTTTGTGTTCATGTGGGTGTGCATGCAATGCAAGTGCTTTAAAATATGAAATGTTGAGTAGAGGGGTTATATCTGTGGTGAAGAAACAAACATTTCCTGGCTCCCCTGCACTGAGATTCATGGTTATAGTATTAAATTTTTCTGCACCAAGGATCTTGTTTAGGGTGACAGCTGCAAGTTGTTTAAAGCAGGTTTACATTGTGACAGCATACCAGTACACTTGATACACTTTACAGCACATTAAATATAAGATATTTAGGAAGAAACTACTATTGTAGCACAACCATTTCATGAAGGAATGAAAAAACCTTGCATGGAGGATGGAGAATACATTTGTTCTCCAAGCACTACAGGAAACTTGTCAGCTAAGGTTAGTCTAGGCAAAGATAAGTTAGGAAAATGTCTTTCTGAACTGCAGAAAGTACCCTAGACATGGTTTACATTTAGTTTCTGATTCACTTCCATGTACTGATCTCGTTTGTTTGTTTGTTTTTTCTCTTTCTCAGTGTACTCAGCCCCTGCTCAATGAACTGATGCCAGACATTGCCATGGGAGTGTCAGCAATGTCTCTGAAAGACAGAAGGCTGCCAGAACTCACTGTTGAAACAGAGTTAAGCCAGGCGGTCCCAGAGGTAGGGTCAGCTCCACCACAGCACATTTCATGTATTCAGAGCAGGCACATGCCCACGTCTCGCAAGAAACATGCAACAGAGCAAAAAGTAGATGCTCGAGAAAGTCAGCAGGAGTATCCTGACTTCTATGATTTCTCCAATGCTGCGTGCAGACCTTCCACGCCAGCCCCCAGCAGACACAGTCCTTCGCCTTCACAAGGCATGTATTTTGGCCCAGATTTGTATAGCCACAATAAGGCATCACCAAGTGGCTTAAAGTCAGCGTACCTACCTACCCAGATATCTCCTAAAAAGCAAGAGGATTCTAGGAGGGAATACCTGCTCTCCCAGGATGGGCATCAACACAGACAAAAGCCTGAGCCGTTACACCTCGATGTCTTAGAACAACCTCCCCAGCGACTGGACTTGGCGTTGGCCACCCAGGAAAGCGCTGCCAACGGCCCCGTTCACATCAGGGGAAGAACAAAAATGGAAACTGACTTAACCTACGGCCTGACCTCGAACAGACCTTCGCTCTCTGCGTACTCCTCGGAAATGCCCGAGGAGAGGCCGGGCAGGAGGCTGGCAGATGAGGAGCCCTTGGAACACGGGACACAGAGAAGCGCAGACTTGGAAAGGGAAGAGGGAGTAAGCAGAGGAAGGAGGTCTCCAAGCAAACCAGACTTCCTGTATAAAAAATCTGCCCTATGAAAGCAACCTCCAGTATTTCTCTGTGCCTATGAGTTGTAAACATACCATTCTTTAACTTTTGGCCTGAGTTCCGTCAGAAAAATTCATTCGTGCCAGCAGATTAATTCAGCTTTGCTCATTTCTTTTATGTATATATATTGCTTTATTAGAGACAAGCATGCTATCAGTTTATTTTTAATGCTGCTTTGGGTTTCATGTGTGTTCTTTTTTTTTTTTTCTTGAGCAAACTTACTTAAGCCTTTAAGAAAAGCTGGCACCATTTTTTTCTACAACCTGGTAGCCTTTTGCACCTGTACATCTATTTTAGTGTACTAGTTTTGTACTAATATGTTATACTTTATTGTCGCATTTAAAGGACTGTATTTTCATACTTTTGCATTTTCCCTTTCACCTGCCAGTTTCCCATGTGCATTGAGTTGCACATTGAGATGTATTTTCTTACGAGATAGTAACAATGTGATTATTTTTTAATTATAGGAATTCCAAAGAACAGCACATTAAGATACTACATTTTTTTTTTATTCAAATCTGAGATGTCTTGATTTTTATCACTACAGCAAGAATCCAATCTAGCAATGTTTTGTTTGAAAAGTCCTGGCAGCTGGTCTTACAGCAAGCCCACTCCCAAGAATTGTATTTGGGTATTTAAGAGCAAAGGGAGATATTTAAGTGTCCAGATTCCAGTGCAGCTCCCTGCGCTCTGACAGTGCAATTCTGTATGCTGTGTGGTCAGCTGTGACCATCCACCATCACCAAGAAGCACTTACTAGCTAGGCTAGAGTTGTTGATTTGCCCACACAGAAATACATCTAGAAATACTGTAGAATTAATAGTAATAACTTGTTCTTCCAGCTACCTTTATGTGGGGTAGGTGACAACCGGAGGTGAGGAGTTGGGAAGACGGTACCTTGTGCTGCTGCCTGCAGTTTAACTCTCCAGTCGGCAGGGTTGTGTCTCCAACAGAGGTGCTGACATGACTGCTTATTGCCTTGCTTTGGCCTGCCTATGATTTTAAAAAGGGCTTTGCTCAGCGATGTCATTCCGTGTTCCTTACCGAATCTGAAGGGTTGCTGACTGCGTAATTGCAACTGTTCTGTGAACAAATCAAACCAGAGAGGTAGTTGCTTTAGCACTGGTAAATGTTTAGAGGAGCACTAGCACTCTGACATCTGACCTTGCTTTTCTAAAGCACAGAAATGTTCTTCATCAACTCGCATGAAATGGAGAGGGAAGGCTGGTGATTTGGGCTGGTCCCTCTCCCTGATTTGAGGTTAAACCTGTGGGTGGCAGTGATTCAGTGTCCCCCTCTCTGCGCGGAGCTCTGCGGTTCTTACCTTTGCCGCAGGTCACGGGGTGGTGATGGTGATGCGCTGCCAGGCACTCACCACTGGCCAAGACCTCTGCGGGTTTTTAGGAGAAGATTCTGCCATGAAAAATTCTTCCTGTAGTTGAAAGCAGTAATCCCAGGTGTGATCTAAGGACTTGTCTAGGGCTGGCTTGGGCTGTTTCCTACAGTTCAAAATACTTAGTGCCGTTTACATGGAAATATTGTTGCAGCCGTATTTTCATTTTTATCCGATGGCAGTTTCTTGCACCTTCTGCTTCATGAAAATATGCAAGGCCTGACATGCACAACACCCTTTTTTCCGGAAATATTGAATGCTGATCTACCAAATACCTTCTGGGTAAATGAAGATATGGGTGTTTGGAAGAATAAATAATGTCTCCTGCATATGCAGGTCTCCTGCCTCTGAGAGAGCCCTGCAGCTGCTCCTTGTAAGTCTCGATACAGTGTTGGAGGAGAAGCCTGGCCACACTGCAGAGGCGACGCCAGTGTCCTGCAGGCGAAGGGAGAGGTTTTGTTCTTCTGTCAGGCTTGTTGAATCTTGCTTTTTTTTTTTTTTTTTTTGACCACAGTCAAGACACCTGGTGGTCCTGGCCTTATCAAAATACACATTACTTCCTCAGAACTGCAGCATAAAAACCACCTTCTCTTTAAGAAGGTATCAGGAGGGGATAAGGCTGCTGCAGGCTGGGAATTGAGGTTGGTTGGTTGTATTCTGACAAGTTGAGCACAGTGCTGTCGTGCTGTGCAGCTCTGACCAACCGCTTTGGTTTCGTGCTTATGGCGTGAGAAATTAATGCTCATATCACACAACACAAAGTCACTGCACTTGCATCCTTCATCTGTTAAAGTGGCTGAACCATTTAAGTTGTAGCTGTCCTGAGAAAACTTACTCTTCTGAATAACTTATTTTTGCCTAAAATTGATAGTTCTGCTTTCAGGGGAAACTATTTTTAGTTGCCACTCTGTTTAGGTGCAGCCCAGTGTGCTGGGAGAGAGCTAGGGCTGAAAACTGCATGTGCTGGGAGTAACCCCTAGCTGGGAGTGTGTGGAGATGGGGCTGATAGGGAGAACTCAAGTTTTGAGGCTACAGCGAGAGGGGAATCACAAAGTGGTTTAGTTGTGCAAATGAGCCAGTGAGAGGGGCTTTTGGGGAGGGAAGGAAGAGGAAAGTGTGTCAGCTTTTCAGAACACACAGTGGCTTCTGAGACCTCAGAAGCTGAACAGTATTAAAAGGAAACTCTTTAAAAATAAGTGCAAAATAAAAGACGAGTCCTTTGAGGGCCATCAGACAATCAGGCCACTTGGACAATCTCCACTTTCAGCTGCATCTTCCGAGTCAGAAAGAAGATAGCAGCTGACTATAAGTGGAAGAGAAGTGTTTCTCAAAGCAATGGAATTGTATTTTTGTACTTCAGGGTAGGATTTCCTACCTAGTTGGAGGGGACGAGAGGAGAAACCATCGTTATGAGGCTGTGGAGAAGCGGCGTTTGGCCTGGTGCTCATCCGCCCGGCTCCTGCGCATGGGGCAGCGTGGTCCTGGCTTCCGCGGGCGCCAGCAGCCGGGCTCCCTGCCTGCCGCCGCGCCTGGGAGCCGCGCGCGGGCTGCAAATTGGCATCGCCCTTTCCCCCTGGGTACTGGGTGGGAAACGCTGCTATTTCAGTACACAAGAGCTGTGGACGTTCAGCCTTCCCGCAGGAGGAAGGTTCCTCTTTGGCGTCTCATTAGAGTTCAGGCTTGCGGTTAGGAAGCAACATGCAAAAAATCTCCCATTTCCCTCTTCCTTCCCCCTCCCTTTTTACCCTAATATATGGATGAATAACTTAATTCCTAGAAAAACCTTCCTCCCTTGAAATGTTCTGTTATTCTGTAGAGTTACTGTAGTTGTGTGTTAATAACTACTGTGTTCATTGGCAGTTTCTTATTTTTCCTTCTCTTAAGCAGTTTCCTTTCCGAAAACGAAGCGACTGTGGCCCTTCTTACTTGTAAGATTTTTGGTTTTGGTCTTGGAATGTCCCGAGTGTGTGTTTGTCTTACAGGTTTCCTTGTTTTGGGGTGTTTTGAAAGAATTCATATGCTGTTTGAGACATTCTTATTTCTTCTAATGACTGCAAGCTTCTGTGATAGAATGAGGCTGAGTTCTGCTGAGTGCAGGAGCAGCTGAAAGACAAAATTGTAAAATGGTGTTTGGGGCTCTGTAATTCCCTGTACTTCCAGGAGGTCGCCTTGCCTTCTGCAATGTTACATTTCTGTTTCTTGTCCTTGTGCTGTTACTGGTATAAAGTCAAGTGCCTTCAATGCTAAAGGCTCAGAAAACCTTCTTAAACTGATTTCATGTCCTATGCAAGTGTTTTTTCTACAACCTGCATAACCAGTACTTTGTAAAACTTGTTTACGCTTCAATTGTACATAGTGTTTTTAAAAAAAAAAAAATAGTATTTTTATTTAGGTACCTCCAGACTTGAATTCTAGTCTCGTGTGATGCATTGTAAAACAATACATTTCTCTTTTGAGTACCATTACAATTGTAAAAAGGTTTTCACTGGTTCTATTTTTCTACTGTTGCTGAGAAGCATGTAACACTGACTTTATCCTACGTATAGTTGGCATTTCAAATAAATGGCTTGTATAGAATGGGCACGTGTGACTTCTCTTTGGTTTAACTGTTGTCGTAGGCTGCAGAATTAGTGCAGAGCTGGTGGCAGAACAGGATGTGTCGTCACTGCTCTGAATCCCTCCATCCAGCCGAGGCAGGGAGGGGAGAGGAGAGTTTGAGCTCAAACTCTGAAGTGCCCTGAAAGTGTAAAAAGAAGCTTCTGCTTGCTTGCTTTCTTCTTTTTTTACTAAAAAAAAGTCCATGACAATGCGCTGAACATCAAGGATATACTGCAAACCAATGTAAAAATAGAAAGGTTGCCTGAACAGCACCACTAATCACTTATTAAAAATAGAAGTGCTACAGTGAACTGCTGCTTAGTGAGCTCTTTGGTGGGGGCTGCACTGTGGCTCGTCACTCTTAAAAGCAACAGGATTACCCGCACCTCAGGCAGCGGGGCTCAGCCTTGATCTAGAAAACGTTTGTTTTCCGAGCAGAGCAGCTAGACAAAGACATTCATTAAACAGAGCGTCCCTGTCTTGAGTCTTGTGTCAGCTGAATATTCATTAAACCTGTTTCACCAAAAAAGAAGAAAATGTTTCATTACTTCAAAGGGATGAGTAAAGTTTAGAAGTGTGTCATCCAGCAGCCGAAACTCTGTGCTAGTTTCACTTTTTTTTTTGTACAACAGCAAAATACTTTGGGTTATTTCCTGACTTAAAGGGGGAGAGAGGGAGAAAGGAATGAGGAGTACAGTATAATCTGATGAGACTTATCTTCATTTCTACCCTTAAAATGGTAAATTTTAAGAAAAAAAATCTAAAAGTAGTCTAATACTTCCATTTTGTTTCAGGTTTTGTGTTTGTTTCGGTGAAGATCTTCCCTCTGAGAGAAGATGAGATTCCTGCGGGCAGAGGGGCTGGCCTCTGGGCAGGAAGCCAGCGCAGCGGAGGTTTGTGTGGATGGTGGCTGCTGTGTCCATGCTTGCTCGTCGCCGTAGCACAGGTGGGTGCCAAGGACCGAGCAGCGTGTGCTTGGTGTGACATTAGTGTCAACTGTGGCTGCGGGAACAGCTACTTGTGGAAACTGCAGCTTCAGTTCAAAGCGTTTCCTGCGCGTGCCGCGTCTGAGGGCGGCAGCGCCGGTGCTGCAGGGGCAGCCTGGGCTGCGCTGTCGCTGGCTGCCGCAGCGCCCGCCGTGTGCCTGAGGCGAGGGCGGCAGGGCCCGAGGCGCCTCCGGGCCGCACCAACCTGCACTAGCCTCTGCCCTGGGACAGACTAACTGCAGGTCCTGCTCCTCTCGCACGGTGCCAAAAAGGAACCGGGAGGTAGCAGCAAGGAAGATGCGTTTGCAGGAACTGCAAGTAACCTGCTGTTGAGAGCTGCCTTGGCCCGCCGAGCGGCGCAGCTTCCACGTCACCCGGGTGCTGCGCTCGGGGTGGGTGTTCACGGAGCCTCAGCTGCCTCAGGACCACGTGCTGTAAGTCACACATTGCAAGGACCGATGCCAGTACTGGAAGGCAGGACGGGGTGGTTTGTGCCGCTTTACTGCTCTCAAAGTTGGCACCTACTCTACAAAGAGCCAATTCATGGTTTTGTTCAAGTGCAGGCTTCGAGGAAACTTAGTTGCCAGGCCAGTTTTAATGTATGTTTCAGATGAGGTGCAAGTGGTTGGTGCTACAGTAATGTGAAATATCCTATAGATGGCAGCAGGGAGGACATCCATGTTTTAGTTCAGTGAGAAGATGAACCATAGCTGAGTGGAGCCAATGCAGAGTACTCAAATTCTTCCTCTGACCTTAGTATTTAAGGAGTTTTTTGTGAAATAGAACAGGAAAATTCTGACCATTCTGTTTTTGAACTCAGGGCTGGAACTTACCTCAGCTGTGGTTACCTCAGACTAGATTTTTCCCTACTTTAGTCTGAGAAATGCAGGACAATAGAAATGTAATCCTGTTTTTCTGCTTTTTTCTCCTGCTCAGTCCGTGCTCTCGGGTGATGGCAGCAGTGATGGGACGACACCACTTGTTCCACAGCTGCCCTGAGTCAAGTGGGTCAAGACTGGGAGCAAAGATGGAGGAAGGAAAGGCTGGGCTTGCAGAGACCAGGGCTGATGCCCAGCTTGGGCACGTGGCTAAACAGGTAACCATCCCGTTATAAGGCACGGAGCAGGACAGGCATGTAAACAAATCGGCAGAGCAGCAAGTCAAATACAGTGCAGACTGAACAGTGTTATTTAATTTTTAGGTATTTTACTTAGGTATGCAGTTACAACTCTCATAATAGTTGCTACAAAAAAAAGCACATACAATATCCAGAGTTAGATTCAAAAGCAACTAGTCAGACTTGCATAAAACAAATTAACTGAGACTTTATGCTAGAGTTTGCTTTTGTAAGTGCAGTGGCCAAAAAGAATTAACAAAGAATGATAAAAGCTGGATTTTCTTTCAAGAAACCTCAACAGGGGAGCAGAATGATACCTCATGATAAGCAAATCCTCCAACTACAGAGAGCAGGAGTTAAAAACTACACTTTCCTTAAAGGAGTGATGGGATTTTGTGGGAAAAGAAAAACTAAAAACTACTTTAAGCTCAAAATGAATTATGGGAAATGCAATATCTAGTTTTAGTTAACAGTAGATTAAGTCAAAAAAACATCTTCTATTCCTTGATTATCACAGTGATTATAAAAAGATCGCACACGTTATACTACAGCAAAATGCCAGGATGCTGCAACATCTTAGGAACACTTATGAAACAGGTTAATTTTAAAGTAGGTTAGTTTTTAAAACAAAAGCATATTAAAATTCCTTTAACAAAACCCCCAAAACATAATTTGTAACCTAGTACCTCCTACTAGGTATCATTTACATTCTAGTGAGAGGATAATTTCACAAGACAAACTTTTGCATGTAAAACATCACTGTACAATATCTAGAAATAGTTTTTGAATAAAAAAAATAGATACAACACTCTGCTGTATCAAGACCAACTCATGATTCCTGTTTTTTGGCATGCTGAGGGAATGCCTCCCCAGCCTAGGTTAGCACGTGAAGGACAGTGCCCTTTAGTTCACATGATATGAACCAAACTGTCGAATGCAGCTTCCTGCAGTGGGATTTGAACCAAAGTGCATCCCTGTAACACACACTGCCTCCTCCATCCCACTTGCAGAATTTTGTACAGACACCAGGACGGGCAGACAGCCCCACGTTTTTGTACAGTGTACACAGCTCTAGGCACTGAAAGTAAAATAGGACAGAGGATAAAGGAAAGAAACAGGAGCATTAAGTCGTTTTTGACAAGCAATCCTCCCCTTCTGAAACAAGGCCAGCTTTCAAATAAATGCAAAGTAGATCAGGGCTGAAATCCATATAGCTGAACCACTCTGCAGTGTACCTGTTAAGAACGTATGTGCGCTACCAAAAGAGGAAAAAAATGAAACAAAACGAGGAAAAAAGTGGAGGCAGTTTCCTGGGCAGTAGGATGTTGAGGAAAAGCCAACTATTAAAGATGCCTTTTCTGTTTGTCAGTGGATACTTGTTTTCCCCGGTGGCCTTTCAGCCTTGGACCCTCTGTCTAGCTACAGTAGTACTGCATCCTGTTAGTCCGTCGTCTTTTTCGCGACTGAAATTCTTCAAAGAAATGCTGGATGTCTTCTCTTTTAACAACCTAGTAGAAATAATAAGAAACACAAGTGGTGATACAGTAATTCAGTTATAGCAGCCTTTTTCTTCCATGTAGTACGCACACCTACAAAGCACCTCCATTAAAACACATATCCTGAAGTCTCTCTGATACAGCCCGCCCAACACCTCTCCTGGGAGATTAATAACCCAATTTCACTGTAAGAGGATACACAGAGGGCAGTGAGCTACCCAGAGGTAGAGCAAGGGGACAGAGAAATGCTTCTAAGGGTGACTTTCATGTGTTCAGCTACTTGCTTTTATCGTTGGAATAATTATCACAAAGCAAGACCTCACAATCTGGAGTGTAACTGGGGGGATGAATAGGATTTTGGCACATATGTGGCTTAATTTGAATAATAAAATTTCCACATTGACAAAGGGCAGACTCATTTCTTTGGTGAAACAACAGGAAAGATTATCTGTGACTATTTTGTCAGTCCTTGTTCCTCTGAAGTTTTAAATCCAGTTTAAGACTAAGCATGAAGTTAAGATATTTTTTCCTGATGTTTCCCATAGAAACAGTTATTTCACTTTAACTTTAAAAGCTGCTCTCAGGACATTTCTGTGCTGTTCCTTTTACCTCCCAACAATTCTTTCAACAAATTCCTTCAGAAATACAGCTCTTAAATCCCTATAGAATCAGAAGTGTCCAATGCTTACTTAAGTAACTGGGGAGTTGTTATATTCAACATTGCCCAGCCCTATTTAAAAAGACATTTTCAAGAACCCAAACCACTTCTGCAAGGTGCATCTTACCGTTCCCTCATCTGCAAATCTCCTGAGATAGTCAGTCAGTTCCGTCTTTAAGTCATTGTATTCTGGAGGGGGAAGTGAAGGCGTGAAGGAAAAATAAGAGAGACCCAGTATTAGTTCAACACTGGCTTACAATGAAGGTTGCGCTGTTCCCTCTTGCCACTAGTTAGGCTGTGCTTTAAGACAAATCTAGCTTTGAACTGGGTTATAAATTAAATAAGCAAGAAGGAGTAAACTTGCGGAATGTAATGATGCAGTTACCTGACTAGCTTATGCAGTCTGCCTGTCCACTAAGAAGAGAAATGTGCAGAAGTCCAGAGAACGAACTATTGCAATTAAAGGACTCCAGCCTCCCCGCAAATGGTTGCTGCAAAAGCAGAGGTTGGTGCTGGGAAGTCTTAACACGTGTTCCCACCAGAGCAGAAATCTCTTATTCAGAAGAGGGGTACAGGGCTGGATATGTTTCATAAATAAAGCCTGTCCTGTCCATAACGGGAACATGAAAAAACCTTTCACCCCAGCTTTCCGCAGGCTGCCAACCCCAAAGCAACAAGAGATCACCAGAATGACCCAACAAGGTAAGAAGGGGCCAGAAGACAGGAATGTAAACTAAATATCCATCTTACAAGGAGTTATCATTAATATACAGTCTAAATATTAAATAAGATTCCTACATCATCTGCTGTCTTAACACAAGTGAGCTAAAGTTTTAACAGCAGGCTCAAGCTGACAGACTTCTCTGCAGTAATATCACTTGAGGTTGATAACCTGAGTCACAGAGTCTTCTACACATTGCTTAAAAATAGCTGGATGCCAAATTATAATACTGTTAACACCTGCTATGTGATTATCTGGTTATATAACAAAGAGCATGCAATGTGAGACAGGCTTTTTATACAGTCCATTGAAAATGCTAAGGCAGATTCTAAAAATGAATTTATATTTACCGCAGATGAGTTCTACTTGCTGGACTCTGTTCATACTGTTAAGGGTGTCCATTAAGGGGTCTCTCCTGTCAGTTTCTTGGTCACTGGTACCTTTATTTTCATAGGCCAAGACAGTGTCACATTCATCTGTCAGGAACTGGACTTCAAGCTCTGAATACATTTTCTGGAGAATAAAGTAAAATTTAATTTTGGATTACAGAATTCTTCAGGTAAGATGTGCTCCCCAGCCCTGTTTCACTGCAATTCATAATGTAAATTTTATATCAACAAACATTTCAACCATGTCTCATGAAGATGTTCAGAATGACATTAGACTTAAGTCACAGGAGAAACAAATCTTTAGAAGCAACTTCTAAACACGCCTGCTGCATTAATTCCAAAAGATGCTGCTTGCTTCTTTAGGTCTGGTGAACGTTTCCTGAGGTGTCTGTGCGCGCAGCAGGAAGGTTTTCACTGGTTTTTATCCAGAAGCTCCTCTCTGAGTTCTTCTTCTCTGCCTCCCCCATTTGGACACTTACCGTGCAGGCTGCCCCGGTGCATAGGTGCATACTTACCAAGCACTCCTCACACGTGCACAATTTGCTTCTCCAGTTTGATGGCCAAAAGGTGGCAGTATCTTTTTTTAAAAAATGCTTGCTTTGGAGTTCTTTCAGCTTGCAGACTGGTTCTTCACTCTTAGTAACTATCTGAATTAAAATAAGAGCGTTTAATCCTCATCAGCTTCCCTTCAGCTACATTCATTTTCCTCAAGCAAGATTATTTTTTTTCCCCTTGGACATATTTATTTCTATAGGACAACTTCTGTTACTGTTCCATTCATATGTAAATCCTGATGTGGTCTTAGCAATTTCCATTAAGTATAAATATGCTGTTCTGTAGAAACTTACTTCAATAGTCATAAGTGTTTATGAAATCAGAGCTGGCCCATCCTAATACCACACTATTAAAACAAACCCAGGAATTCTTTCAGCATAAAGGCAAAACAGTTGACTGGTGTGGGGACAGATCCCTACTACCTGCAAGAGACATGACACCTCCAAGAACATTCCATAACCTATTCCGTGCTCTACTAGAATGTGCATTTAACGTGTCAGTAAAAAAAGTTACTAAAAATGTGCATAGAAATGGACAGAAAGCCTTGTCAGTGAACCTACATAGAAAGAGGCGGCTTTAGTTCCTCCACCACGAGGAGGATGCGTACAACACAGAAGAAAGCTCATTTTACCTCTGGACATGAAGACCCGGAGCTGGTAGATGGCTCATTAAACTGTTCTGTTTGTTTCCCTTCCTCCTTTTCTTGGTGCTCTGCTCCACTTTCTTTTTTTATTTCTTTTTTCTGTTCTTCGCTTTCCTCAACATTCAGGATAATCCCTTCGTCTTCAAGGGAGTTCACTTTGGTCAAAGGAGGAACTAGAAAACACATGTCCACATAAACAAAAATATTGTGCTAAGCGAAGTATGGGCTACTACAAGCTTTCTTTTTGCTTTATAATTAGGCATTACAGAGCACCTGGACTATCTGATCCCTATAATATCCAGGGTCTAGATACACCCTACAGCTATCCAAACACAGTGACAATGAAACCCCTCCTCTTTGTCACGGCCTTTTTCACCACTCTCATTTCAATCCAAAAATTCTCTGCCTCCCAAAATGCTAAGACCTGGCAGAGAGAGGGGGGCATCATAATTTCACACAGTATGTGCCGGCTACCGCATCTGTGATCACTGTCAAGCGGTGTCAATAAGAACAAGCATCTTGATAGTGTACAGCAAATTTTTTTTTGTTGACTTTATGTCAGGATCAGGTATCTTCGCTTTCTCCCATCCCGAAAAAAAAAAATCCTATAAAGCACTTGCAGCTGTCTTCAGCTTTGTACCCAATTTTGAGAAAGACAATTTAAGCAGTTGGTTATACATAAAATTGTAAATTAATAAGAATTCAATGTACCAAATAAGACTTTCTGCAGACCGTCTGCTGCTGCATGTGCTCTCACTAACCAGAGGTTATTATGTAACTCCAGCTGAATGCTTCTTCAAGCACTCTACTTATTCCCATAAAACCTTTTGCTAAATGTACCAATTTTCATCAAAATAGCTCAAAAAGATGAAGTAAGTTCTACCAAGGAAAAGTCACAGTCACCTTATACTTATGTACTTATCTTCCAGCAGTTTGGGGTGGCCCAACATCCAGCTGCAGTGACCCATAACTCTACAACAAATTAAGTGTCAGGTGTGTGCACGATGACACAGCCAGCTGAGAAGGGAGGGCAGGGGAAAGTGAAGAAGAGATTCAAGGTCACGCATCCTGAGACCTCTACAATCACCATTTGAAATTCGTGGTACATGAGAGAGCAATCTCCAGGCAAGGGCTCTAGGAAACAAGACTACCTGAATTTGGCTCTTTGCACTGAAATGCAGTCATCTGCTCTTCTGCAGAGACTGCATATTGGGCAGACAGCCGGGGTGACCACACAATCCAAACACAGCTCCAAACATGTTCAAAGTAAGATTTTTTTTTTTTTTACTCTTTTCAAGTCAGTATCACTGAGCCCTTTGGGCTGGAACCTCTCCGGCTCAGCTACTTCCCGTAGGATGGCTCTTCAGATCTTTCAGACCAGCCTAGAACTTGAGTTCCTCGAGGCAGGTAGCAGATCCATGCGCTAGCACTTGTGATGAAATAAATCAAATAGCGACAACCACGGCAGGAAGAGTTATGAACCAGACTTCTGCTGGAGAGCACTCGGAATACACCCTAAAGAAACATCGGCTCAGATGCTTGAGTTTCCCTTACCTGCCAGCTGCGGGGCGTAGGCCCACAGGAAAGGGCAGTGCTTCATGCAGGCTTGGCAAACCATCTCGTGGAAGTCCCCGCTCTCGGGAGGCACCGCCCCAAGGTGCTGCAGGGAGAAACGAGCGCTCAGCAGGGCAGGGCAGACGCACGTTTCGTGCGTGTCAAAGAGGAGCTGCCGTCGTGTTTTCATCACGAACCAACAGTCCTGCTTGACTACCAGCATGAGTATAACCAAGAGGTTGGAAAGATCAGATCAAATTCCAGGGAAAAACTGAGATCACAGTGCCTTTGTTCACTAGTTTTAATGCTTTCTACATATCCGGAAAGCCCAGTTCTATCTTTATCTCATTTCTAAACATAATTCTTCGGTCCTAACTGTAGCTGCATAACAAGATACCCAACACTCACTGCACCTTTAAACTCTTACCCTAACTTTTTGCTATTGGTTCCTTACACAAACAACTGCAAGTCTTCATTGTTCACATTCTGAAAATGAGAAGAATTGGGTCTCAAAGCCCTCAGAGAGATTTGTGAGAAATACTGAGGCAATTAAAAGCACTTAACTGTTTTCTTTTGAAAAACATTATTATACAGCTTACAGTATGCAGCATAAGATCCTTAATACACACATCTATACATAAACAAAGAAACCTAGAGTTTATCTACAGAGCCTGTAACTGAAGCCAATCATTTTGTTTTCTTCCTTATTCTAGCAACATCCAGTATTTTACTTTGTGCATCCTCTGTGGAATTTCTCTTGTGCCCTTAAAAGGCACGACAAGCTGAATCCCTGCTCAGGCAGTAAGTAGGGCATTCAGTGGAGTGCTTGACTGCTGCTTAAATGTTTCCCCAAAGTGTGTAATCAGGGACCAACAGTGCAGTTTGTTCCTTACTATTTAATGTAATTACAATTCAAAAAAGCACCCCCCTGAATGAACATATATATAATTGATAATGGTATGCTCTAAAGAGCTCACTGATTCCAAGTTTATAATTTTCCAGTTAAAAGCAGTTATAAAGCCTATTATTTTACCCTGCAAAAGTAACCTTGAAAAAAAAGAAGAGGTTTTCCTAGTTATTTTGGACCTGCGTGAACAGCAATGCACGATTAGACATTCAGTAACACCTTGCAGAAGTGGAAAGGAACAGCCCTAGAACTCAGGTAAATATCTTCTGCGAACTACAGCAAATCCTTCCTAGTGAGAATTACCCTACACAATTAACCAGCATCATTAGTTTGTTTCTATGCAAATGGCAATTCTGCTACTTTTCTTACCCTTCCATGGAACCAGTCTTCACACACTATGCACTGGATCATTTCATCTGGAATCTAGATGAATAGTTGCACCATTAGCATCAACATCAACCTGCAGAATCTTTTGCAATGCTCAAACTACAGTATTATGCAAAACCCCCATGCTCCATCTCCCTCTATCCACCCACACTGCGCTGCCATTAGTAAGTAGTTACCATTTCATTAGCCAGTTTGCTCCTTGAAGTACTAGCATTTGTGCAATTCATTAAATTAGGAAAAATATGGAAAGACCCCGTTCTATTACAGAATGTCAGATTCCTAACTTAATTGTGTGTAATACAAACTTAGTACAAACCGTTTTATTATGAAACAATTAATGATTTCATTAGAAATATTTAATTTCACTAAACTTGGGAAAATGAGCTTATATTTGATAACACCATTAATACAGTTTTTTCACACTTGGAAGATTTACACCTTTCTTATTCCTTCTGTCTCTAAAAAACTCACTTATAAAACACGTAACTTCTACAATTGCAGAGGAAAGTTCCTGTGTGTCAACCAGATGGGCATGTTTTAGTACTTTGGACAGGGAAGCAGCAGTCTCACTGACATAAGGGAAGGCTAAACTGGCTGACACCAGCAGCAGTCCTGCCACAGCACTGCTGCAGGAGCAGCATCCTGATCTCTCAGATCAAGAGATTTTTCCGCTGTTTGTAGAATTTCTCCAGATAAACCCATCCCCTAAAGGAATAATATAATTTTGCAGAGAGGCGGGCAGAATTAACTGTACCACCCTTTTGTCCAGATGAATGCTGTGTCTTCCTCATCTGTTTTTAAGGTATCAGTATTTTTAGCTAGGGAATGTATTACTTTATACTGTGAATGACAGTCGAAGTAATATTAATAATAACGAAGATGCCACTTGAAGAAATTTTAAAAACATCTTGTGGACCACCGTTTGCACAGCGTTTTGTATTGGAAGTTGTATTATCTCATCCCAGTTTTGTATTAATATCTTCTGAATGAGCTTATTACTAAATTTTGCATTTCTTACCTCATCTTCAGGATCAGGATAAGGTCTTTTACAAGTACAGTATAATCCAAAAAAATTGTCATTATACTTATTTCCTGAATTCACCTTGCCCTTTTCCTAAAAATAAAGGAGAAATTATTTCAATAGACAATGCAGTGAGAGACAGAAGATGCATGTCCTAAAACAAGACGTCCTGGTCTTTTTTCTAAAAGCAATCATTACACTCATCTCACTCAAGATCCAAAACCAAAGATACTACCCCGAGACTCGTATGTTATCCAGTCGGCAGAAGATAGGGCATGTGAGGAATACTGAAGGAAATAGGAAGAACAGTCTTTCCACATGTAAGACAAATGGCAACTATGGTGAGTTTTCTTAAGCTACTGCTAATCTAAAATTACTTAAGAGCATAATACTCTTTAACAGTAACTTCAGTCCCTGTTCAGTGACCAGTATATTCAAAATTCCTTTCAGACGTGTGTGATTTTTCCCAGACAACCATTAGCCACTCAGATTTTATTCAAACAAAATCCTTAAGGTTTGATCACCAATCCTGCACATCGAATCTGCAGACTCTGCCACAATGGCAACAGGCGAGCACCCTTCCTTCTCTCTTTGTATACTACAAAATGCTTTTTACTGCTACTCTGTTAACAGGAGAGCCCATGATGCGAGGTCCCTTCATGCACAGAGCCAGCCAGCTTGACACCCTGGTGCTGAAGCTCCTTTTTGCTGATGGGCGCTGCAGCAGAGCACCCACGGGACGGGCTCACTGACTCGCACAAGCAGCACTCACATCTCACTAACTGCCACGGGCATCTCCACGGGGTCTGTGACCACAGCACAGCCCTGGCCAGCCCCAGGTGTGCCAGGAGCACGAGGGTGCAGGCAGAACCACTTGCTGCTTCCGCATTTGCAGCATTATCCTCTTGGGAGCAGAGCAAGCCAGAGAGCTTCCTTCCTGTTTGCTTTCCAGAATGTCACCAAATACTCACCGAGTCCAAACGCCCACGGAGCATGAAAGCACAGGGCGCTCGCTGCAGTGCAAACCAGCCTTTCAGAAGACAGCAGGGCACTACAGCTGCCCCGGGAAAGCGGTGCAATTGCCCAGTTCCTGGACAAGAGCACACTCCAGCTTTCCTTAAAGCTATCGTAAGCTCACACCCAAAGAGGCTCTCCTGAAGGCAGTTTATTAACCTGGGTGCCACAGCCCAAACACCCGCTCGCTTGTCTTGCTGGGAGAACAGGAGGCTCCATGAGAGCTGGCCAAGGCAAAACACCTCCCTGCCAAGGCTGCTACTCTCATTCTGCACGTCTAAAACCTTTATCTGAACTTACTGGAAGTAACTTGCACTGCAAATTTTTGAATTTGCTATTTCCACAGTCACAGCGGAAGTTCCTGGAAAGAAAAACAAAGCACTTCATGTTTTCTATTATAAATAGCAAAGTTAATGTACTTTTATAAAACGATTTCCAACAATTTTTCGGAACCACAGAACTATTCTTGCAGCTATTTAAACAACAGCATCTGTTAGAATTGGCCAAAGAGCCTGTCAGCCCCATGTCTCACCCTGCGTTCCCGGCAGAGCCCAGCCAACAGCCTCATCTACAGCAGCTTTTGGCGGGAAGAACTCAAGGGAGCAGCTAAATAAGGCCCTGTAACAGCCACGTTCATAAAAACAAACTTGTGCAAAGGGAAAATAGTGGTGTAAATGGGTTAACTGCCGGGAGCCAATGCTCTTACCCCAGACACCTAAATGCCCACTGAAACTGCACGGCGCGCTGGGCATCCCAACAGGAGCATTTTGCTGTTGGGCCCGAAGCTGGCAGCGCAGCTTCGCGCGTCGGGGTGCTCACGGAAACGGGAGCCTTGCACGGGTTCTGCACCCACCCACCTTGCTCCGCGAGCAAAGATCTTCCCTAAGTTTTCCTATAAAGCACGGATGCCTCGGGGCGCGGGGGGTTCCCAGCAGAGCCC